CGAAGAGTTTTTTATTAAAATTTTTAAAAATAATTGAATTCATTTTTTGTGTGAATTTAATTGAAATTGTGTTAAAACTAACAGAATTATTATAAAGAAGTTTATTAAAAAATTTAAAAATAATTGAATTCTTGCGAAGAATTTAATTAAAATGTTTAAAAAAATTGAATTAATTTAAGAAAATTTAAATTTTATTGAAAATAATTAAATTTATGTGAAGAATATAATTATTTAAGAACATAATTAAATTCATGCGAAGAATTTCATAAAAATAGTTACAAATAATCTTATTTAAATTTTTCGCAAAATAATTGAATTCTTGTGAAGAACTTTATTAAAGTATTCAACAAATTAATTGAATTTCTGTTAAGAATTTAATTATTTTCTTAAAAATAAATTAATTCCTGCGAAGAATTGTATTATTTATAAAAATAATTAAATTCCCGCGAAGTATTTTATTATTTATGAAAATAATATTGTATTCTTGAGAATAATTTTAATATTTAAAAAAATAATAATTGAATTTTTGCGAAAAATTTTCTTTAAATTTTGGAAAATAATTAAATTTATTTTTAAAAATTCTATCAAAATTATATTAAAAGAAATTGAATAATTTCATAGTTACATCAAATTTTTTGAAAATAATTGAATTTTCCAGAAAATTTTACCAAAAATTTGTAAAAATAATTGAATTCCATGAAAATAATAGAATTCCTGCGAAGAATTGTATTATTTATGAAAATAATTGAACTGTTCAGAAGAATTTTACTAAAATTCAATTATTTAAAATAAATTCCATTTCAATTCTGTAAAGTTCAATTATTGTTACAAAAATAGAAAAAATTTAAAATTTTCTCATGAACTTGAATATTTTTTCAGAACTTTTCTTTTAAAATTTCCTGATAAATTTAACTTTTTAAATAAATTAAAAAAGTAAATAATAAAGTAAAACAAAATAAATAACAAATAATATGATAAAGTAAAAAAAAATAATAAAATAAAACGAAAAAAGATTTAAATTCTTTCTTAATCCGACTTATAATTTTCAAATTCGCCAAAAAAAGGGCAAAACGAAAAAATCACGAAAATCATATTCAAAACGAGTGTGATAACTTAAAGAGAAGGTTGTCGCCGATGCTTGACCATCATCTAATTGTTTCGCTTCTCAGTTCCTCACCTTGAAACTTTAATAGTCCACATCTTGTATATGAAAACTTTCCCATTGCAGTAAAAACAAAATTTTTATCGTGATAATTCAATGCTAAGTGCAGACCTAGACACGAAATTTTACGAGAATTCGGTTTCCTTTTGATCCTTGGGCTTTGATTATAAAGAAGAATTTTATTGACACTCGTTAATTGGCTTGGATTTTTTTTTCTTCCTCCATTGATATCCGTCGTCTATCTATATTCTTTTTTATCATCCTTGAACCTACAACGAGAAAAAAGAAACAGTATGAATTTAGTGTCATTTTTTTATTTTTCTTTTATCAATTTTTTTTTGTAGCTAGTCAACAACAAAATATTTTCTAATTTGACAAGTTTCTATTTTGGTGTATTTTGGAAAGTTATTTAAAGAATGTGGAACTGGTTTTGAGTTTTATGATAATCTCAAGATTGTTGTTTTTCAATTTTTTTTCACATTGATGTATAAAAATACGGTATTAATATTAATATAGAAATAAAATGCGTAAATGTAGTAAAAAATGGAGAAAAAAATATTTTTTCCATAATTCACTAATTTTCTCTTTTTTATTTAATTATTTCTCGTTTGCTTATTTATTAGTTAACTTATTAACTACTTCACTTATTTCAAAATTTATTTATTTTTGAATTTTTTTATATTATTATCCTATTTTTACATATTTTTGAATGTTTTTTAATGTTTTAATATTTTAATATTTTTTATATTTTTTTGAATGCTTAATTTGCTGATTCGCTTTAATAAAAATATTACTTGGAGGTTTTTTTTTATTATTTTTTATTCCAAATATTTTATAAAATACGATTAAAAAATAAAAATTATAAAAGTTAAAAATTTACCAACAAACAAGTTGCGGAAGAATTTCAAAATGTGAAAATGGAACAAAAATACAGAAAGAAGAAAATATTCTGTATTGAAAAATCTTCGTTATATTGTTAGAAAATCTTCCGGATTTTATTTTCAAGGCATCAATATAAAAACTCATAACAGAACCAGTATTTTAAAAATAAAATCTACCGAAATACTTTTTGGCAATTAACCTTTACGTTTCCTAGATAGTTTTCTAAAAATTATTAAAGTGACCTGTATTCTAATTTCGAAAAAATAGAGAAAAGTTTATAGAGAAATTTTCGAAAAAATTAAACAAAGAATGGAAAATGGAAAAAGTAAATGGCAGAATTTTAACACATTTGGAAGAAATAGAATACAAATTCAAAAAATGAATTTGAAAAGGAAAAAAAAATAAATTCCAACTTGCAAAAACGTTTTACAAAAAAATAAAAAAAGAATTAAGCAAAAAATAATTTTTGAATTTGGAGTAAAAATACAAGGGAAAAATAGAAAAACTAATGAAATCAATTGTTTGCTATTAAGAGTAAAAGTATTTTTCACTGTTAGGGAAATTTTAATTCTTTAAAAAATAGTTTTTAAATCAATTCAATATTTTCTTTAAAAAATCATTTTAAAAACAATTCTTTATACATTTTCTATAAAAAATCATTTTTAAAAGAATATTTCAAAATGGTGCAAAATTAATTAAGAGTTAAATTATTTTTTACTGTTTGGGAAATTTTTATTTCTTTATAAAATCATTTTTAAATAATTTCTTTCAAAATTCCTTTTTAAAATAATTTCTTTGAAATAATTTTTTAAACAAATCATTTTTAAATAATTTTTTAAATAACATTTCTTTAAAACATTTCTTTTAAATATTTTCGTTAAAAAATGATTTTTAACAGAATATTTTAGAATGGTGAAAAATTAATTAAGAGTAAAATTATTTGTCACTATTCAGGAAATTTTCATTCCTTAAAAAATCATTTTTAAATGATTTCTAAAAAAAAAATAATCTCTAAATAACATCTTTGAAAATTAATTTCTAAAAAAATATTTCAGAATGGTGAAAAATTAATTAATTTACCAGGAATTTATTATTTATATTATTATTAATTATTTAGGAAATTTTATTCCGTAAATAATTATTTTTAAACAATTCTTTGAAATAAAATCTTTAAAAAATTGTTTTTAAACTAAAATTTCAAATTGGGGTGAAAAATTGATTAATCTTTTAGGAAATTGTTATTTTAAAAATTATTATTAAAATTATTAAGTATTAATTTCATTATAACTTATATTATTATTAATTAGTTTATGAAAATTTTCATTCCTTAAAGGAAGACTTTTTTCCAAAAAATTATTTTTGTAGTAATTTTTTGAGAGGAAATCAATGGTCAGAAAACAAAATCCGATAGAAAACGTTCTGACCAATTTTACGTATTTATTTTTCTTCAAAATTTTATAGATTTCAAAGTCCATTTATAAATTTGTAAAGAATATGTTTTTGTATCTACAAAAAAATTAACGAATGAAAAACTGATTTTTATAATTTTTTAAGCATTTTTTTTTTTTAAAAACATTGTTTTTAGGTTGAAAATTCTAAAAATTATTTTTATTCAATTTTTTTATATGGAAATTCACTTCTTTACTTTCCTAACTAATTTTAAATCATAATTCCTTTTTTTAAAATAAAAAATATAAAATATAGAAAAATTAGATGATAAAATTATGATTTGAAATTGGAAAAATGAACAAGTGAATTTCCATATAAAAAATTGAATAACAATGGTATTTTTTAGAATTTTTAATGAATTTTCTTTTAAATGTTTCAAAAATGGTAAAAATAGTTTTTCATTTGGAAATTTTTTTGTAGATACAAAAAACATTTTCTACAAAATTACAGTTGTATTTTAAAATCTGTCAAATTTAAAAAAGAAAAAAATCCAAAAAGGTTTTGAATATTTACTGACCATTGATTTCCTTTCAAAAAATTACTATAAATATAATTAAATAATTTCTTCAAATAATTTTCTTAAAAATAATAATTTTCAAAACATTACTTTTAAATACATTTGCTTTTAAAAAATCATCTTTAAATCATTCCCTTACATAATTTCTTTCAATCATTTTTGAAAAAAAATTTCAAAAAGGTGGAAAATTTTTTTTTTAATTTTTAATCTTGATCCTCGCACTGAATAATCAGAAAAATAGTCTCTCTAATTATTATTACTCGATTTATTAAATATTAATATATCGTCAAAAAAGTACTAGGTCAGTTTATTTATAACAAAATCAAAAAATCTAATTTCCCAAAATCAAATTAATAGCAAAAGGCTCCTAGCGAGGGGAACAGAAAAAGCCTTATGTCCGAATTTGGACTGCTCGCTCAGAGTATGCTAAATTATCTCAAAGCTAAATTATCTAATCTAGCTTTGGGGGAGTAGACAAAAAAAGGAGAAAAAGAAGAGAAGAAGCGAAAAAGTAAGCAAAACAAGAAGAAAGGAAGCTGGGCAAGAGGAGAGGAGAAGAAGAAGAGGCCAGAATAGGAGACTGCTCAATTTTGGGATAGAGATTTGGAGGAGATACGAGGAGGGAATATCGACGCATAGTTTCGTTAATCTTACTCTCTTACTCTCTCTCTCTTTCTCGACGCCCTCGAAAAATATAGCCAGGGCCGACCAAAAACGTCCTCTTACCCGGGTGATAATGCCGCTTTTGCCCCAGTTCATTTGTCCATTGATAGATTCTCAAATGTTTTGGATGCGTTTTCCTGGTTCATGGTGACCGGCGCGTGGGACCCCTGCGTGGGATGAGCCGTTGGCCAGCCCTGGAGCGTCTCGCGTGCCCATCTTGGGTAACGTCGAGCACTTCAGCGGACATTATATCTGGCGTCGCGACGCCTCCGACCCTCAGCCGCTCCGCAGTCGCCCGTCAATTCACTACTCATTCTCTCGGTTAGTACCAAACTCCTCTTCATTATTTTTCACCCAGTGAATCTCCTCTTTCTTCTTCCTCAAACATCATCATCTTCATCACTTTTCTTCCAATTCAAAAATTTGAAACTTGAATTTTAAATTAAAATTGAATTTGAATTAAAAATTGAATTTGAATTCAAAATTTGAATTTGAATTCAAATCTCCAATTTTGATTTGAATCGAAGTGAAAACTCGAACCTGAAAAAAGAAAAAAGTGTCGGAATTAGTGATACCAAAACTACTAACTGTGATTATTATTAAATAGTGAAGAAATATATAAAAAAATTAATATATAAATATAATAAATTGTGATTTACTTATGGAATGGGAGCGATTACTTGAGGATTTGATCAACTGCTTTTTTATCGAGGTGTTGTGATCCTGGGGTTTTAATCCACCCTTACGGAAGATAAACCTAGTGAAACTCAGTGGATTCCTTTCTTGAAACTGGATAGTGATCATCAATGTGAATAATTATTCCGATCAATTGACATAAACGTCTCTTGCCATTGAAACGATTCAGAGGAAGAAGAAAGACTCAAAAGCTGGAAATTTGAATCTCTTCTTTCCAAGAGCGAAGAAATTGTACTTCTTTCCTTGGATGCCGAGAGGGACGAAAACGTATCCAAATAGAGAAGTGGAATTTCCTTCTGGAAAAAAAGAGAATTTTTATTTTCACTGTTCGAGTAATAATTGTATTTTCATTTCTTAAAAGTTAGAAAATTTAAAAACAGTTAGAAAAAAATTAAATTAAATAGTTAAAAATTGAAATAATTTTAAAAAAAGTTAGAAAAGTTTAAAAAATTAAAAATATAATAAAAACATTTAATTGAAGAAATAATTCTTCTTTTCTTATACGAAAAAAATTGTTTTCAATATCAAGTCAAAAATCTCGCTTAGTAAAAAAAAATGCTTAAATAAAAAAATTATTCATACACAGAGGAGAATAAATTTGATTTGTAAAATAAAGAAAATAATTTCATTTAAATATTATTAAAAAGTAAATGTCAGAATCAGAAATAACATTTTTTCTATAGAATCGGAAAAATCATTTATATTCTTAAGAAGTAGAACATATTTTGATATTTAAAAAAATTTGATCATTGTTTTCATTTAAAGATTAGAAGATCAATTGCAATTTAAAGATCAATTGCGATTAATAATCCTCAAATTGCAAAAAAAACTATTCCAGTAGTTTGAGAATTAAAACTTCTTCTCTTCTTCCTCATGCATGCTCATATATAGAAAACGAGAACGTAAAAACTATCCATTTAAAAATGAATGGGAGTAGCAAACTAAAAATAGTTTTTCAAAATATTTACGAAAAAGAGGAAATACAAGTGTCTTCTACACACTGAAAAAGAGATCAAGTGACGTAAATCTAACTAAAGACGAAATTGTCAAGGCTGACGATACAGTTTTCATAGCACGAGATATTATATCATTTGACGAGAATCCAAAAATAATCGCTCACTTTCTATGAATCAGAAGAAACGAAAGAATCGAAAAGAAATTTCAAATAGTGTTCTCTACTGTTCTAGAATACTTTTTTCTGATCTATAAATAATATCTACCCAAGAAATAATTGTCGAAAGTTTTACAAATAGAAGCAAAGAAATTTAGGACTTCGATTTGTTCCGAAAAAAACCTTTCAATCCTCTAAACGAAATTTCCAATAAAATAATCCAGCAAAAAATCCTCCACTAAAATACCTTTATTAAAAATAATTTCCCGTTCGTTTACAGTTTTGTTATAGAATTTTATGGAAACGTGTAAACAGCGAAATTAAATTCTCTCCTGTGAACTTAATACTTATATTGTGTCAGTTTCACAAATTTTTTTTTAAATAGGCACTAAATAAACAAGTTTACACTAAATAGTAGTTGAGTTTACTTAGTACCTACTTTGAAAGTGGTAAATTTACAAAAATTTCTAAAAGAATAAAAGTATCAAGTTTACGAGTGCGAATTTAAATTCTGTTTGGAAAGACGTTTCTGTAAAATTCTATAAACAAATTTGTAAACTTACAAAAAAAATTTTTAATCTTAAATTTAGGGAAATATTTCTTTGATTTCAGAAATCGTAACTAAAAGTTATTCAAAATGTGTGACGACGACGTAGCCGCTCTAGTCGTAGACAATGGATCCGGTATGTGCAAGGCCGGTTTCGCAGGAGACGATGCACCACGTGCCGTCTTCCCATCCATCGTCGGTCGCCCAAGACATCAGGTTTGTTGAATATTTTCAAACTTTTTTTTCAGCAAAATCCACAGGGAAAAAAATTCGGTGCATCAAATTTTGTACTTTTTTACTTATGTACTCTTGTACTTTTTTAATCTTTTACTTTTGTACTCTTGTACTTTTTTACTCTTTTACTTATGTACTCTTGTACTTTTTTACTCTTTTACTTTTGTACTCTTGTACTTTTTTACTCTTTTACTTTTGTACTCTTGTACTTTTTTACTTTTTTTACTTCTTAATTTTGTACCTTATATTTTATTCCTGTATTTTGTACTTTTTTTACTCCTGTACTTTTGTACTTTAGTAAAACAGGATAAAATTTGTCTCTTAAACCCAAACCAAAAGTACAATATTTGCAAAAAAAGTAGTTCAACTGAAGCACAGAAATTTTTTCCCTGGATAATTCGATAGTTTTTTACCTGGACTTTGATAATTCTAGACATTTTTTATTTTTGGACTCGGACTATTTTAGTCATTTTTTATCTAGACTTTTAACGATTCAAGAAATTTTCTTATTCAGACTTTGATAATTCGAGGCATTTTTTTATCTAGACTTTGACGAATCGAGACATTTTTTTTTATCCAGAATTCATAATTCGAGAAATTTTTTATCCAGACGTTGATTATTCGAGGAATTACTTTATCCTGACTTGGACAATTCTAGACATTTTTTATCTGGACTTTTTCGATCTTAAAATTTTTCTAGTATTTTTCGTAAAATTCTTTGAATTTTCCCTGATTCTCCTGAATAATTTTACTTTCCTTGACTTCCCTGATTTGTCTTTCCTGTGCAAACTTAATTTCCACTGAGACTTTGACGATTCGAGACATTTTTTATCCAGACACTTTTGATTTCAATAAACTTTGTTATGAACCGTTTGGAAATATTGACTCCTCAATTTCAAGAGGCAGAGAAATCTGAAACAAAGTCCGAATATTAGAAGAAAGTAAAAGCAGGAACCGAAAGGATGAAAATATTGTGATTTTTCTTTCCCCAGGGTGTGATGGTCGGCATGGGACAAAAGGACAGCTACGTGGGCGACGAGGCCCAGAGCAAGAGAGGTATCCTCACCCTGAAGTACCCCATCGAGCACGGAATCATCACCAACTGGGACGACATGGAGAAGATCTGGCATCACACCTTCTACAACGAATTGCGAGTCGCCCCCGAGGAGCACCCGGTCCTGTTGACCGAGGCGCCGCTCAACCCCAAAGCCAACAGGGAGAAGATGACGCAGATCATGTTCGAGACCTTCAACAGCCCGGCCATGTACGTCGCCATCCAGGCCGTGCTCTCGCTCTACGCCTCCGGTCGCACCACCGGAATCGTCCTCGACTCCGGCGACGGTGTTTCCCACACCGTGCCCATCTACGAGGGCTACGCCCTGCCCCACGCCATCCTCCGTCTCGACTTGGCCGGCCGCGATCTCACCGACTACCTCATGAAGATCCTCACCGAGCGCGGCTACTCCTTCACCACCACCGCCGAGCGGGAAATCGTGCGCGACATCAAGGAGAAGCTCTGCTACGTCGCCCTCGACTTCGAGCAGGAGATGGCGACCGCCGCCGCCAGCACCTCCCTCGAGAAGAGCTACGAGCTTCCCGACGGCCAGGTCATCACCATCGGCAACGAGCGCTTCCGCTGCCCCGAGGCCCTCTTCCAACCCTCGTTCCTGGGAATGGAATCCTGCGGCATCCACGAGACCGTCTACAACTCCATCATGAAGTGCGACGTCGACATCCGTAAGGACTTGTACGCCAACAACGTCCTCTCCGGAGGCACCACCATGTACCCAGGTATCGCCGATCGTATGCAGAAGGAAATCACCGCCCTCGCCCCATCAACCATCAAAATCAAGATCATCGCTCCCCCAGAAAGGAAGTACTCCGTCTGGATCGGTGGCTCCATCCTCGCCTCCCTGTCCACCTTCCAACAGATGTGGATCTCCAAACAAGAATACGACGAATCAGGTCCAGGAATCGTCCACCGCAAATGCTTCTAAATTCCTCCCTAAATCAAATCCACCTAAACAGAACATCTCCAAGTGGATTAAAATCAAAATCAAAATTCTTCGACTCTCCATCATCAGAATGTCGAATCGTTATTGTTCTCCTAACCCATTGGCTAGGATGGCGACTTTCCTCATCGTATAATCATCGTTCATGCTCGTATGTTCACTTTATCCCCCGAAGGGCTTTTTTTTTGTCAACGAAATAATAAAAACGGAGGGCTCTTCGTACAGTGCAACCACCAGACGTTGCGTAGCTCCATGAGACATTCGTTTTCGAGGAAATAAAGAGAAGAACCTGAAGATTACAAAATGAGAAATTCTTTTTGTTTTTTTTGTATGGATGTGTCCAGGGTCGCTTCTATTTACTTCGAAAAGGACATCTCGGACACTTGAAAGAGTTGGAAGAAATTTGTTTTTTGGAAAAACAGTTCCGAATGTCTATGAGAGAGCCACGCAGCATCCTGGTGGTGCAATGCTTTGTTTTTTTTTACTGTCGCGCTAGAGATCCGGCCGACTCCTCAAAGATTATTTATGATATCTAGAAAATAACTGTATATCGCGTCTGTGTCTAAGTTAATGTGTAATCTAGTCTCACATCAGCGAACCGTAAACACCGGTATTCACGTACAATATATATCTATAATTTAATTTATTTTGTAAATATTATATATTATTATATTGTTATACAATGCCAAAGTCAAAGAATATACATTATCTCACATATTTTTTGTGCCTTTCTTTATTTCTCACTCTCTTATTCTTAATCCTCTGCCTTAAATTTTATTCTTTCATTTCTGCAAAAATTTATTATTATTATTATTATTTTATTATTAATTTGCTGAATAAATAAAAGCAGTTAAATTTTTAGTACCTTTCAACTTTGGTATTTTTTTTTTAAAGTTTAGTAAAATTAGGAAAGTAAATAAAAACTTAATAAAGAAATAGTGAATTAATTTCGAAGAAGAAATTGAAGAGAGACAACATACAAGAGACAACATTTGGGGAAATTCGTTATTTTTTAATCTTTTTGGAACCAATGTCTATTCGTCTATGAATTTAAATTTAATATTCATAAATATTCATCATAATATCATAAATATTTAATATTCTTATTATATTACAATATACACAAAATAAAATAAACAAAATAATAAATAAAATACAATATAAAAACAAATAAATAATTCATAATACTATAAGTAATCTACAATTTTCGATTTTAAAATTGAGAAAAGAAAGAAAAAAGAAAATTTCTTCATAAAATTGTCATTGTATGGTATTTCAAGATTGGAAGTTAAATTTTTTTATCATTAATGGTATTATTTTTAAAAAAGGCGTTAGTTACGTGTCAAAGATTATAAATGATATTATGTGAATAAAATTCGAATGATTAAAAGAATAAAAAAAAGGTAAAAAACAATATTATGTAAACTCTGTTTTTATAAATATAATCACACTCTTTGTGATCCACTTTTCGTCAAAGATTAATATTCAAGATAATAACCAAATATAGCAAGCGATATTATCACCTGGTCTTTATCAATAAATAAATTGTCTACTCGAAATCATCTTGCATAACAATGTATACTTTTCTTTCCTCTCGCATTTAAAAATATATTTTATTCTCAATTTGTTTGAATTTATTTAAAGAAATTATTTTTATACTTTTTGTCTTAAAGCTTGAGAATTCTACTTTGCTGAGAACAACAAGTAGCAGCAATGGACGTAAAATTATTTAAACAATAATTATTATTATTTGTATAAGTATAATTAAGAATAATAATAATATTAGTAATAGTTAATGGAGTAGTAATGAAATAATTTTTGAGAATAAAGAAAATTAATAAACAAATTTTCGAAAACGTGAAATAAACAAAATAAATTTCAATATAGATTTAAAAAATCAGTGTAGAAAGTATAACTAAAAGAGAATGTATAATTTTAATTTGGCAAAGCGTCAATTTTCAAAAGAATTTAACTACACGAAGAAATAGGAAATATCTAAAAAAAATCTTGGAAGAATATTCAACCCTTTGAAACAGCTTCGCTCCTTTAGAATTTCATTAAGAAGAAAATACTAATGAAATTAAAGAATCTGGAGCATGGTTTGAAAATATCTCAGACTGGATATAAGAGCGCAGTTAAAGAAGAAGAAGAAGAAGATGGAAGATCGTCTTTTAAAGAAATAAGAAAGAAGAAGAGAAGAATCAACTTCAAAATAAATTCAGATGCAAGTTATTTTTGTTTGTAAACGATCATGTCAATCTCTACGTGGGATTCTTCTTCTTTCTTTTTTTTTTGAACACTCTTCGCGGGTGACGTATTGAAATATTTCACGAGCGAAGAAAAATCTTTCGTTATCGTCTTGAATACGTCCACCTGTTTCGAAACGAATTTCACACGAGACGAGAGGGAATCACACAACACATCCTTCCTTGCATGGTAGCGCGTGAATTGGAACTCTCCCTTATGATAAATTTAGAATTTAGAAATTAGGTATCAAGGCCAAACAATCGATATATGAAAAATAAATTATTCTTTTATCACTCGCCTTTTTGTATGTTGAAAAATTTTCCTTTGACTTTGAAAAGCAGTCTCGTCTTGAAAATAAATAAACGTTCATTTCCCAATTTTTCACCAGTGGCAGTCGATCTGAAAAAGAATGAAAATTTAATTATTAGTATTGTAAATTTTCATATTTTATATTTGATTCGAATTTTTATTTCAGAAACTAAAAAATGTCCTTTTGCATCTTTTTTGAAATTTTTGACAGAGAAAAAAAAATCAATTGAAAAGTTTTTTTTGATGTAATAATTTTGCAATTTTCAAATATAATTGCAGTTTAATAATAATAATTCGAAACAAATCGTATAATTCAGGATTTTTGAATTTTCAAATATAATTGCATCAATAATAATAATTCGAAAAGATTTTGGAATTTTCAAGTATAATTGCAGTAATAATAATAATTCGAAACGAATCGTAAAAAAGAACTCTGGTCTAATTAAGTTGATTGGACAATTTGAATGCATTAAAAGTAGAATCGTAAAGTTAGTGAGAAATTATGAATATAAATAGAGGAAGTAATGATTTCCTTAAGACAAACAGTTTCGTGTTAAAATCGTACGTCTTAAACAGGAAGAAAAAAAATAATTTTACAGCGGAAGATCATTTTTACGAAACGAGGCTTGAATGACGTTTCAAATTCTTTAAAAGATCAAAGGGAATTTTGCTCTTTAAGAAGTAATTCCAAAAAATGACTTAACCACCATATTTCAAAATAGAAAATAAACGGAATACAAAAATAAACAACTAAACGAATTTGAAAAAAATGATAAAATAGAAAATATGCAAAAAGGAATATTTTTTTCTTTCTTTCATTTTTCCCTTTTTGTAATTTTAAAATTTGAAATTCCGATTTCAAATAAAAAATTAGAGAATTTAGAGAATTGAATGGAAATGTAATTGAAAAAATTACAAACAAATCCTAATTTTCCATTTTTTAATTAAAAAAAAAGGAAGTTTTCTGAAATTTAGTTTCAGAATCCAGAAATATTGAAAGCGAACAAATTTTTAATATAATTTTTTCGCAAGAATTCAATTAATTTTATAAATAGTGCAATTCTTTGCAAGAATTCAAATGTTTTCAAAACAATTTTAATTGAATTCCTCGAATGAATTCAATTATTTTTATAAATAGTACAATTTTGCGCAAGAATTCAATTAATTTTATAAACAGTAAAATTCTTTACAAGAATTCAATTATTTTCAAAACAATTTTAATTGAATTTCTCAAAAAAATTTCATTATTTTCAAATATTTCTATAAAATTTTTCATAAGAATTTAATTATTTCTTAAAATTTTAATAAATGATTCAAAAACAATTTTATAATATTTCATATTTAATTTATATCATAATTCAAATTAATATTTGAATATTTTCAAAATTTACAATTGAAATTCTCGAAAATTTGTATTTCAAAAATTTTAATGAAATTTAGGAAAAAAATCAATAACTTTTTAATAAAATTTTCCAAAATTAGAATTCTTTAAAAATTTCTTAATCAAATGTACCAAAAATTCGAAAACAATTGTATAATATTTAATTTTATTATTAATAATATTTAAATCAATATTTAATTTATATCATAATTCAAATTAATATTTCAATATTTTCAAAATTTACAATTTCTCCAAAATTTGATTTTCAAAAATTCTACTAAAGTACAGGAAAAGAATAATTCTTTTTAACATAATTTCCCAAAATTGAAATTATTTAAAAACTTTTTAATTAAATATTCCAAAAAATTAATTATTTAAAAAAAAATATTCAAGAACTATTTTTGAATTTTAGTTAATTAATTTTTGACTATAGTAATTTGGCAGACTATAAAAATCAAAATACGTTGCATTATACACCGAAAAATTGGAATTTTGTTGCAATATTTGAAAGAAAAGTCGACAAAGTCCCATTTTTTGGAAATGAGTCCAGAAAAATCGTCTTTTTCTTCAAAAGAGTCGAGAAAAAATCGCCTTTTATGAAAATAGTCGGAAAAAGTCGCTGTTTTTTTTAGGAATAGTTTCAAAACTTCCAAAACTTTCTACTATTCAAAGCCTGATAAAATGAAAAATTCTTCCAAATTGGGAAAATTTTTGTCTGTACATTATCGAAAAAGAGAGAATTCTCACAGCTTTATGAACACGACTTTGGGGGATGAAATCTGACATATTTTTGCGTTCTGTTTGGAGAAGAAGCCTGGTGTGCCGCCTAGTTCGGAGAGCGTCGCGACGCCTCGGGAAGCAAGCCTTTTTCGTGCCTGTTGGGCAGGAACCATTGTCCAAAAATGCGGGGGCGTATAAACGAGAGCATATATTCGACGTCGCGACGCTTCTTCGGCACAGACGCCACTACACTCTGTCCCGTGCACGGTACGTACTTCCACTTCCTCTTCAAGAAAACAAAAAAAAAATTTCTTTCGACAATTTTCTAATCTAACTTCCGATTACAAAATTCTGGGATTAGTACAACAAAAGAAAAAAAAAATATATAATTGTGCGGTTTACCTTTTGACAAACCAAAATTTTCTGTGCTTCGTCCAACTTCCGGTTCGGTGGTGAACGCGATAGTGAATTTCTTCATTATTCAGTGTGCTCGTGATTATCAAATATTTCTTCGTCATTCTTCTTCATTATTCCTCTTCCTTCAAGAAGCTTTCTCGTCAATCACTTTCTTTCCTGAGTAAAATAAAATTAATTAAATTAATTAAATTAAATTTCAAAAATTTCCCAACTTCTCTGATTCTAATAGAATTTTTTGATTTAAGGGAAATTTGTTTTCTCCAAGAAACTTTTGAGTTAATTAACTGATTTACTCAAAAGCTTTCTGGAGAAAAAGAAACATTTAAAAAAAAATTCCATCTTTTCTGATTTTAATAGAATTTTCATTTTAAGGGAAATTCTTTCTCTCCAAGAAGCTTTTGAGTCAATCAATTTATTTTTTGAGTAAAAGAACAGAATTTAAAATTTTCCGTCTTTGGTGATTTGAACAATTTTAATATTAAGAGAAATTCTTTTAAAAAAAGTTCCATTCAATTATTTCTTCGTTGTTTTTTCTTTCTTGTATAAAATATTTTTTATACAATTTTCAAAAATATTTTTTATACAATTTGCATTTAGAACAAAATTAACATTTTGTTCTAAATGAAAATTGTATAAAAAATATTTCCCTTTAAATAATTTGAAAAATTAAATATTTCAGTATAAACATAAAAATTCTAAATGGCTTCAGACAAAAAAAGAAATTATTCCAAGTCTTCCAAATTAAAATTAAAAGTTTAACAGAAGTTTACAAATTTTTCAAAAGAATTTCAATTTTAAGAGAAATTGTTTTTAAAAAAAGTTCAATTGAAATTAAGTTATTTTTCATTAATTTTCTTAAATTTTATAGAAACTGTTTTCCTTCGAATTATTTGAAAAATAATCTTTAAAAGTAAAAATAAATGTCTTTGAAAGTAAAATAAATGAAATTATTCAAAGTCCTTAAAATTTAAAGTATATAAAGCAGAAATTAAAAAAAAATTAAAAGTAAAGATTCAAATTACTACATTTTATCAATGAATAAAAATAAAAATTGAAAATCGCTTTGTAAATTGTAAATTTAATTATAGATAAATTTAGTAAAATAGAAAATATTTTGATACTGATATCGAATTTTGTATTTTTCTTTAATTATTTAATTAATTTTTTAAATTAATTTAATTTGTAATATTAAGTTAATAATAAAATTAATAAAATTGATATAGTTTTTATAATAATAACAAAAGTAAAAATAATAATCATAATAATTATAATAATTTTAATAATTATAATAATAAGAAAAATAATGTAACATAATTATTTCATTCAAGAATCACTTTTATAAATTGTTCCTGAGTTTAAAGAAAAATTTGCTAAAAATTTAACACTGAAGAGAGAAATTCAAAAAAAAAGTTAAAATCGATGAATACAAAAATATAAACTTGTTTGTTTTCTGTTGTTTGCATTTTCTTAATTGATATGTTCCACATTTCAAATTCGATATCAGTAAACAGTGCTCTGTTTATCAGAATATGGCAAAGTGCCATTTTGAAAAATATCCAAGTTCACGATCGCGTGAGTGACTTTATGTTTTGAAGGAAATCCAAATCTTGAATCATCTTTTTTTTCTAAAGTCTACTTTCCAATAACTATATATATATACAAAAATAACAATATATCAAATTTCAAAATTATTTTCAAATCCAAATTCTGCAAATTTCTTTAACATTTTTCTACAAAATTTTTTATTCATTTTTTATTGAAATGGAAATTAAATCAATACTTAATAAATATAGAAATAAAAATGAAGGGAAAAATTTAAAAGAAATTTTTTTATTAAAGAGGAAAAATAAAGAAATAAAAAAGAAAGGAACACTTTATGATTAAGAAAGTTAAAAATATTTTTTATTAAAATGAAAAATAAAGAAATAAAAAAAGAAGGGAAAGGTTTATGATTAAGAAAGTTAAAAATATTTTTTATTGAGATGACAAGTAAATAGAAATAAAAATTACTTTTAATTAAAATGAAAAATAAATAAATACTCAATAAAGAGATAAGAAGTGAAAGGAAAAATTTCCAAAGAAGAACATTAAAAATTAGGGAAATTTTTTAATTTCTTTTTAAAGATTTCAAAAAATTTTCACTTGAAAAATAAGAACAAAATTCTAAACTATTTTTAGTGCCAAAAATAAGAAAGTAAAAAAAATATAAAATCACCAAAGTTTTTTGTATGAAAATAATTCCTTTCAATTTTTCTCAAAATAAATTATTTTCCAGATGATTCAAGATTTAAAAAAATTTCCCCTAAATTAATTTTCCAAAATTAAAATTTAAAGAAAAAAGAAAAATTTTTGAATAAAAAGTCTTTCGTCGACGAAATATTTCAGAGTAAAGGAAAAATTCTAAATTTGGAATAATTAACAAAGCCGAAGGTCTGAATGGACTTGGAAGTTTTCACGAGAGCTAAAAATATCTCAACGAGGCTTTATAAGGTCATGCCTCCCTAAACGTGACGGTCTCTATAAATATAGAACCCCCTGCGAGAAAGAAGATGAAGAAGAAGAAGATAAAGAAAAACTCTTACGCACGTGATAATAATTATCCAAGAATCAAATTTTCAATTTTTTTCCCCACATTTTTCTTCAATTGAAGAAATATGATAGGTTTTTTTTTCGAAAAAATTATCCTCGAAGAATGGAAATTTGTCAAAAAGGTCTTTGGCCGGTTTCCGCGATTACGTTTTTCTTGTAAGAATCACATAATCTTGGCACGCGTGTATTTTCTTCGGATGCTGACGAACGCGTCGGGGTCCATAAACGACTCTTGAACTTATAGGGAGCGTCCGTCGTTCGTCTAAAGTTAGCGTGCTTGGCTGAAAATAGCGTCGCGACGCCGTGGCTCTCTCTCTCTCTCTCTCTCCTTAGTCCGCTGCTCCTTGATTGCCTATCGTTTTATAGGCAACTGGGTCATTTCTGGCACGCGAATCTGAAACATTGATTAGAAAAAAAAGTTAGATATATTTTTTTTCAACTTTTCAAACTTTGACAATTTTTAATTCAAAAATTTTTTTGTAATTCTATGTCAATCGTTTTCTTTCTCTTCATTTTTTCCTTTTTTCAAATTATCATTTCTTTTGCAGAGCAAATATTAAATTTATAATTTTTTTCCTTTTTTCAAAATAATAAATTCTAATTTTAAAAAAATAATATTCAAGAATCTTTATTATTAAATAAGAAAATTAAAAAATAAATAAGAAATAAATAAATAGGAAAATTCAGAAATGTCTTGAGAAATGCGTAGATTTTGGATATAGGAAAATAAAAAATTGTTATACATATACAAAATTTGTTATACAAAAATTGGGGTGGTATAATAAAATTGGAGGTTGCAAGTTAATGTTACCACTGCTGCGAAATTAATTAGTATTTAGTTCATGAGAAGAATTATCCAATCGACGCGTCACATGATTATTTGCGAAACAAGAGTGATTCATTGAAAAGGATAGCAGATGAGCCAAAAATTCCTAATAGCTATTTTAAACTCTAAGCACAAAAATTTCCATATATGGAAATCATTCCTTTCTAATAAAAAAAAGAGTATTCATTCCGGGGCGAAAGTAAATTCTTTTCCCACGAATCACTATTCTAACAAATTGCTTCTTTAGACTGTTGATCAACAATGACAACAACAACAAAAATAACAAACATTCTAAAAAGTCAAAGAAAACAAGAGAAGAATTATTGTTCTCTAAAAATTATTTTCTAGTTAAATCAATTTCTATTAATTTTCAGAAAGTAGAAAGACAGCGAAACCAAAATGTGTGACGACGAAGTTGCAGCTCTTGTCGTAGACAATGGATCCGGTATGTGCAAGGCCGGTTTCGCCGGAGACGATGCACCACGTGCCGTCTTCCCATCCATCGTCGGTCGCCCAAGACATCAGGTTTGTTGAATATTTTCAAACTTTTTTTTCAGCAAAATCCACAGGGAAAAAAATTCGGTGAATCAAATTTTGTACTTTTTTACTCTTTTACTTATGTACTCTTGTACTTTTTTAATCTTTTACTTTTGTACTCTTGTACTTTTTTACTCTTTTACTTTTGTACTCTTATATTTTTTTACATTTTCTACTTCTTAATTTTGTACCTTATATTTTATTCCTGTATTTTGTACTTTTTTTACTCCTGTACTTTTGTACTTTAGTAAAACAGGATAAAATTTGTATCTTAAACCCAAACCAAGAGTACAATATTTGCATAAAAAGTAGTTCAACTGAAGCACAGAAATTTTTTCCCTGGATAATTCGATAGTTTTTTACCTGGACTTTGATAATTCTAGACATTTTTTATTTTTGGACTCGGACTATTTTAGCCATTTTTTATCTAGACTTTTAACGATTCAAGAAATTTTCTTATTCAGACTTTGATAATTCGAGGCATTTTTTATCTAGACTTTGACGAATCGAGACATTTTTTTTTATCCAGAATTCATAATTCGAGAAATTTTTTATCCAGACGTTGATTATTCGAGGAATTACTTTATCCTGACTTGGACAATTCTAGACATTTTTTATCTGGACTTTTTCGATCTTAAAATTTTTCTAGTATTTTTCGTAAAATTCTTTGAATTTTCCCTGATTCTCCTGAATAATTTTACTTTCCTTGACTTCCCTGATTTGTCTTTCCTGTGCAAACTTAATTTCCACTGAGACTTTGACGATTCGAGACATTTTTTATCCAGACACTTTTGATTTCAATAAACTTTGTTATGAACCGTTTGGAAATATTGACTCCTCAATTTCAAGAGGCAGAGAAATCTGAAACAAAGTCCGAATATTAGAAGAAAGTAAAAGCAGGAACCGAAAGGATGAAAATATTGTGATTTTTCTTTCCCCAGGGTGTGATGGTCGGCATGGGACAAAAGGACAGCTACGTGGGCGACGAGGCCCAGAGCAAGAGAGGTATCCTCACCCTGAAGTACCCCATCGAGCACGGAATCATCACCAACTGGGACGACATGGAGAAGATCTGGCATCACACCTTCTACAACGAATTGCGAGTCGCCCCCGAGGAGCACCCGGTCCTGTTGACCGAGGCGCCGCTCAACCCCAAAGCCAACAGGGAGAAGATGACGCAGATCATGTTCGAGACCTTCAACAGCCCGGCCATGTACGTCGCCATCCAGGCCGTGCTCTCGCTCTACGCCTCCGGTCGCACCACCGGAATCGTCCTCGACTCCGGCGACGGTGTTTCCCACACCGTGCCCATCTACGAGGGCTACGCCCTGCCCCACGCCATCCTCCGTCTCGACTTGGCCGGCCGCGATCTCACCGACTACCTCATGAAGATCCTCACCGAGCGCGGCTACTCCTTCACCACCACCGCCGAGCGGGAAATCGTGCGCGACATCAAGGAGAAGCTCTGCTACGTCGCCCTCGACTTCGAGCAGGAGATGGCGACCGCCGCCGCCAGCACCTCCCTCGAGAAGAGCTACGAGCTTCCCGACGGCCAGGTCATCACCATCGGCAACGAGCGCTTCCGCTGCCCCGAGGCCCTCTTCCAACCCTCGTTCCTGGGAATGGAATCCTGCGGCATCCACGAGACCGTCTACAACTCCATCATGAAGTGCGACGTCGACATCCGTAAGGACTTGTACGCCAACAACGTCCTCTCCGGAGGCACCACCATGTACCCAGGTATCGCCGATCGTATGCAGAAGGAAATCACCGCCCTCGCCCCATCAACCATCAAAATCAAGATCATCGCTCCCCCAGAAAGGAAGTACTCCGTCTGGATCGGTGGCTCCATCCTCGCCTCCCTGTCCACCTTCCAACAGATGTGGATCTCCAAACAAGAATACGACGAATCAGGTCCAGGAATCGTCCACCGCAAGTGCTTCTAAGCAGTTTATCTCAATACATTTTATTATTATTATTATTATTATTAATATTATTATTATTATTATTTACACTTTTCTTTCGAAGTACCACACATTACCGCGCCGCCCAGTCAGCTACTTTAATTACTATTACTCTTTTGTACTTAGTCGCGAGTTTGCTGACAATGGTCGTCATTCAAACAGAAACGTCATCTTTTGTATATAAGTTTACAACTATGGAATAAATATAATCTTATATTCTTACAGCGGTTTAATTCATAATCTTTCATTTTGATAAACCCTATACATTTTTACATGAGGGCAAAAAAAAAAATGAGTGGTACTCAATATCTCTTATTAAAATACTCACGAGTTTCACAGTCAATTTTTTTGGTTTTGATGTCAAGTAAACAATTTTAGCAATTTTAAAAAAGATCTTTCGCTCAAGGGGAGGAACCGTTAAAATTTCAATCTTTCGATTTCAATCTTTCGATAGTTAATTTATTAAGGTGCGGCATTTTTTTTCAGTTACATTATTTAAGATCAAAATTTATTTATTTATAAATTTATTTATTTATTTAAAAAAAAATTAGTACTAAATTAATTAACTGCAGTGGAACCACGATTATAAGAATTAATTGAGACAAAAACTGGTTCGAATAATACAAGTTGCAAATATTCTCCAGTAAAAATTTATAATACTTATGGGTAAATGATTTTTCTAAGTATTGAATGTCATTTATCTTCTTTTTGAGGTATAATTACATAAAAAATTAGAAGATAGCCAATAAAATTTCTTTATCTTTATGAGACTTTTAATATAATTTAATATATTTAAAATTAATATAATACTGGAAAAAAGGATATTTTGGGTTTAAGTTAAAATGTTTTGATTATAGAGGATTTAGTTAACCGAGGTTCCACTGTATTAGAATATAAAAAAAATCTATTTTTGACAACTTTTGAAAATTTACTTTTGGAAAAAATTAAAAATTTTTAAAATCCGTGCGATTTTAAAGAGATCAGAACCAAACTCTTAGGAAAAAAACCAATAAAAAATTCATCAGAGAAAAGTAATCAAAATAATGAGAAAAGAGATTTAAATTTAATTTTTTTGCTAAAATTTCGATTTTTATTTAAAAAAATATAAACTAATTAATTGTTTCTTAATTTTTCGAAGTTTACCTAGTATATAATTTAATTTAAAAACTATATATGATTTTAAATACTCAAAATTGACGGAAAAAAATTGATCACCTTTAAACAACAAAAACTTGGATGGGTTGAATTTTCTCTGGACCCTCATCCTCATAATATTAAGTAAACGATTTTTCATTTTTAAAAAAAGGGGATTCTTTTAGAAAAAAAATTCAGCTCTTTTAATTAAGTTAAATTATTAGCTTTCAATTAATTTATTATTAATTTAGTACCTATATTATAAATTATTATACTACTAATTTAATTTTTTAATTAATAGAATCGGATATAATTTTTACAAGCTAAAAATCATTGTCATATAAATCAAAAATTAAAAAGTTTTCAAATCCCATTTTCTGGAGAAACATTTTCGCAATGTTTATATACAAATACGAAATGCTTACAAAATATTGAAATTCTACATCTTTTTTTTTATCTACAGAGATTGAGAGTTTTGAGTCATAAAAAATTATAATCGGTTCTTTGATCGAAACCCGCAATTGGAAAACAACTCAAAAGTTAAAAATATTAAGATAGTTTAATATTTGTCAATAGACAAATGTTTGGAAAGCATATTTTTCACAAGAGATACCGATCCACTCATATTCATAGATTGATTAAAATTTCGAAATACTAGATCTCGAAGTGATATCGATTTCATAAATCATATTACTGAAACCTTAAACAAATAAACTACTGGAATTATTTTTAAAGTAGTAGTCGCAGTGATCGAAAGTTTGCTCAAAGAAATTTTTACATTAATCTACCGATTAGAAAAGCCGAAAGCAAGATTTGGCCTATTTTGAAAATTTTATATTAAAATTATCCATTTGAAAAAAGAAATCCAGAGGTCAAATAAAAATATTTTCGAAATTTATTAGTTTAAAAAATATCTTAACTTCTGGATTTCTTTTTTCAAACGAATAATTTTCTTGGTAATTTATATTTTCTTTTTTTTTTTTTTGAGTGATAAATTTTATTATTATTTAATAAATTTAATATTAAACTATTAAAATTGGTATTATTAAATAGAATTAATATTAAATTATTAAAAATAACAATTAAAGTTTGCTCGATAAATACTCTTTTTGATAAAAACTTTTGTTGTATAATTCTGCGGTATTAAAATCTAAATTTACATGAAGACTTTCACAGGTTCTTTACCTCAAACAGGAAAATGCGATGATCTTGTTACTCGTTGGCATTAAGCCAAAATATGAAATATTTCTTTCCCTACAAATTTCGAGGATAACGAACGCATTAATTATAATAAATTTCCGCGGAAGTCTTGACCTTTGAATTTCACTCAATTAATTGAAATTCATTATAAACACTTAACGTGAGTGACAAAACTCTAATGCATTTCTCAAAATGCTTTTTTTCAGTAAATAATGAACAAATTTTCCCAAAATTTACAAATGTTCATAAAGAAAACAAATTATTAATATTTAAATAATAAATGGAAATTAAGAAAATATCTAAATAAATATTTATCAATAAATAATATTTAAATAGAAATAAGGAAAATATTCAAACAGAAATTAGGAAAATATTTAAGTATTAAATAAATAATAATTAAATAATATTCTTTAAAATAATTAATGAAGAAAAAGAAGAAGAAGAAATAATATAGGAAAAACTGAAAAAGAGCAACGGGAAAGAATTGAATAAAGGAAAGAATTGAATCTATTGGTGATTTCGAGTCTCATCAGATTTCGATCGTAAGATTCAATTATTTTTCCTGGAGAAAAATCATGCGTGACGTATAGGGGAAGAAAAAAGTATTGTCACCTTTGAATTTTCTTTCCTCGTTTTCCTTCTCATCATCATCTCTCCTTCGTTTTCCTTTTTCGAAATATTTCCATTGAATTGCTTCCTTTTTTCGAAATATTTTCATTGAATCGTTTCCTCTTTTCGAAGCATTTCCTTTGAATCGTTTCCTCTTTTCGAATCATCTCCATTGAACCGTTTCCTTTTTTCGAATCATTTCCATTGAATCGTTTCCTCATTTCGAAATATTTCCATTGAATCGCCTCCTGTTTACGAAACATTTCCATCAATTGAATCGCTTCCTTTTTGCAAAACATTTCCATTAATTGAATCTTCTCCAGTTCCATCAGTTGAATCATTTCCCTTGTGAACGTCGATCCGGAGAAGTTGCCTGGAAATATGAGAGTCTCGTTAGAAAAAAAAGGATTTCCAGTAATTCGCGGAAGAATTTCTTTTTTTCCATTTTTGGGTCAAGAAGAAAGAAAGTCGCGTTCGCGGGGTTGAAAGTCGGGAATGCGAATCTCCCGATGTTGAATTGGTGCTCGTAGAAGGCCACCTTGGAGGGCTTAGAGTCTCTCGCTCTCTCTCTCTCTCGCTTTTGTCCCAGCTGGTGGGGACCGAAGATATCCCTTATTTGGGTTCAAGGGGCGTCGCCGTTGTGCTTAAAGACGCCAATACGTCGCAACGATAAGTTTTCTTTAGGGCGAACTAAGGACTATAAACGAAACTGTTTGTGTGAGTTCGTCAAGCAGATTTCCTTCTAAGGGGCGGGTTGCTATTTTCGGCACGAACCGATATGGATAAAGGGACCTAACTTCGCCAGCTAGCACCACTCGCTGCTCGGTATCTTGTACGACGAACGCCAAACAGTGCATCGCTCATTTTTTATTCACTCTCCACGGTACTTGTTCTTATTTTCATCTTTCTTTTTATTTATCAAAGATTTTTTTTTTTAATTTAGAAACTTTTTTTAATCAAAGTTATTCATACAACTCACCTGGATTTTTGTGCTTTTGTTCTGATAGTAAATAGTGCCTGGTACTTTGGATTAATTTTTTTAATTTCCTCCCGGTGAATTTATTCTGATCCTTGAAATTGAAAATCCTATTGAAACTCCTGATCCAAATGAAAAATCCTGATCCAAAATTTAAATCATTTTCTTCTGTAGAAAAATTTTCCGAATCCTCCTTGAAGATTTTTCTAACAAATACCTTCTCTAATCCTTTGGAAAGTTTTTCTGAAACCAAAAAGAAATTATTTTTAATATAAAAAAAGTGTGTTCATAAGGATTTAGTGAATCGAAATTTTTGAAATTTTAGTGTATGGCGGTTTTGTATTTAAAATTGAATTTACCAGTTTGTGGAAAGTGTTGCCAACTAAAGTCTCCGGAGAATTTTCTCGTGAGAATAATTAAATATAAAAATTGAATTGAGAGTAATTGATAATTTATTAAATAGATTTTTCAATTAAATATTTTCAATCTTTATACATTTCATTTTATACATTAAATTTTTGTATTAACTTTCGCAGTCTCATCAAAGAGAAAGTATTATTTTTCGAACCGAATTCATTTATAATTTGTAACTTTCAGTTTATAGCACAAATTATCAATGAAGAAAGTAAATTATTTTCAAGTTCATAATAACATAAAAAATTACCATACGTGTATAATTTGTAATTTGCAAAGTGTATTTCAGAGAGCAAATTATAAAGAAAAATTACCACATTTTTATTTTAGACAGAAATTATAGTATTGAAAAACAATTTTGAAAAATTTAGAAAATACTCTTTTAATCTTTAATTTTAGATTTTAATTCAGAATTTTTATATTTAATAATCAGTTTCGAAAGTAATTACGATAAATAAAGTTGGCGACACTGGAGAAAGTTCTCTGCATTTTTCGCGAATCTAACTGCAAAATGTCTAAGAATATTCCTCATGTTTTTGAATTTGAATTATTTTTGCAAATTTCTTCTTAATATTTCAAATTCCTTCCAATATTTTAAAACTTCTGGGAATTATTTAATTGTAAATATTTAAAAATTTTAATTTCACATCTCCTCTAAATTCAATTCTGCAAATTTTTTGCTTCCTTGGTTTATTATTCCCTTAGCCTTCAAGTTTACTTGAATTTATTTTAGTTTCCTTTTTACTAGAATTTGCTTTAGTTTCCTTTACTTGAATTTACTTTAATTTCTGTTACTTGAATTAAAATTTGTTCCCTTCATTTGAATTTACTTTCCTTTAGTTTCCTTTACTTGAATTTACTTTAATTTCCATTACTTGAATTAACTTTTGTTCCCTTTATTTGAATTTACTTTCTTAGTTTCCTTAACGTCTCTTTACTTTAATTCGTTATCGTTAACTTCAACACTTCATTAATTTCTTTTTACTTTACTTCACTTAAATTTATCATTCTTACAATTAATGAGCAAATTTGTAAGACCTTTTTTTATTTTGACACCAGGGTTGCCATACAAATTTGATTTTGTTTCCCTCTAATTTTCAAAAAGAATTCTGACTATTTCCCTGATAAAGAATATTCAGATTTACTCTAAAAATTATTAATTGCACAAGAAAAGGTTTTTAATTCATTTGAGAATGTCTTTAATTTTTGTAAAATTATTAAAAAAATATCAATAACGAGTTTTAATTAAATATTTAATCATTATTATTATTATTTTTCCAATTACGAGTTAATATTAACCAATTAAGATATTTAAAAATTACAGGTAATTTATAAAAATGACTATACTGCAACTTCTCAAAAATTATTTAATTTCTAATTCTTAATTTTATGAAAGTTCTTCAAGAATTAAATTATTTTAAATAGTATTATAAATTTATTTAAATTAATTAAATTTCAAATTTTGTAAAGTTCGATTGTTATCAGAAATAGAAAAAAAAACTTAAAGGGTTTTCTTTTAAACTTCTTGGTGATTTCAAAGTTTATACAGACAAAGAAAAAAAAAATTCAAGAAGAATATTAAATCTTTTCAATATTTTCAAAGATTGCTAAACACCAAATTCCAGAATATTTTTATTCTCTCCCTCTTCTTACTTAAATTTAGAATTTAATATTTCCTCCAATACTTTTGATAAAATTTTCCGACTTTTCCCTGGTCAATTTTTCTTTCTCTGGTTTTTTTCTAATTCCCTGATTTATCTGATCTGTGGCAACCCTGGGAACATCATAACAATTGTTCTAAATTTCCTTCTATTCCTCTGACCTCTTCTATTACTATAATTAAAAATTTTTAAATATTAAAAGTGAAGTGTTGATGAAAACGATCAATTTTAATATAATCAGAAAAATTATGCAGAAATTAAATTAATTATTATGCGAAAAAAATTATAAATGAATAAAATTACGAAAAAAATAAATAAGTAAAAAAACTAATTCTAAATTCTTTTAAAGGTAATTAAAAAACATACAACAAGATGTGTGACGATGATGTTGCGGCACTGGTCGTGGACAATGGATCCGGTATGTGCAAGGCCGGTTTCGCTGGAGATGATGCTCCACGTGCCGTATTTCCCAGTATCGTCGGTCGTCCAAGACATCAGGTTTGTAGAATATTTCATTTTCAAAACAAAAATCCATTATTCAATTCCTAATTCAAGACTATTTTTACTTCTGGACATTGATAATTCCAAACTTCTTTTTATCCAGACGTTGATTCTCGTGAACAATTTTACTTTTCTTGACTTCCCTGATTTGTCTTTCCTGTGCAAACTTAATTTCCACTGAGACTTTAACGATTCGAGACATTTTTTATCCAGACACTTTTGATTTCAATAAACTTCGATATGAACCGTTTGGAAATATTGACTCCTCAATTTCAAGTGGCAGAGAAATCTGAAACAAAGTCCGAATATTAGAAGAAAGTAAAAGCAGGAACCGAAAGGATGAAAATATTGTGATTTTTCTTTCCCCAGGGTGTGATGGTCGGCATGGGACAAAAGGACAGCTACGTGGGCGACGAGGCCCAGAGCAAGAGAGGTATCCTCACCCTGAAGTACCCCATCGAGCACGGAATCATCACCAACTGGGACGACATGGAGAAGATCTGGCATCACACCTTCTACAACGAATTGCGAGTCGCCCCCGAGGAGCACCCGGTCCTGTTGACCGAGGCGCCGCTCAACCCCAAAGCCAACAGGGAGAAGATGACGCAGATCATGTTCGAGACCTTCAACAGCCCGGCCATGTACGTCGCCATCCAGGCCGTGCTCTCGCTCTACGCCTCCGGTCGCACCACCGGAATCGTCCTCGACTCCGGCGACGGTGTTTCCCACACCGTGCCCATCTACGAGGGCTACGCCCTGCCCCACGCCATCCTCCGTCTCGACTTGGCCGGCCGCGATCTCACCGACTACCTCATGAAGATCCTCACCGAGCGCGGCTACTCCTTCACCACCACCGCCGAGCGGGAAATCGTGCGCGACATCAAGGAGAAGCTCTGCTACGTCGCCCTCGACTTCGAGCAGGAGATGGCGACCGCCGCCGCCAGCACCTCCCTCGAGAAGAGCTACGAGCTTCCCGACGGCCAGGTCATCACCATCGGCAACGAGCGCTTCCGCTGCCCCGAGGCCCTCTTCCAACCCTCGTTCCTGGGAATGGAATCCTGCGGCATCCACGAGACCGTCTACAACTCCATCATGAAGTGCGACGTCGACATCCGTAAGGACTTGTACGCCAACACCGTCCTCTCCGGTGGTACCACCATGTACCCAGGTATCGCCGATCGTATGCAGAAGGAAATCACCGCCCTCGCACCTTCAACCATCAAAATCAAGATTATCGCTCCCCCAGAAAGGAAGTACTCCGTCTGGATCGGTGGCTCCATCCTCGCCTCCTTGTCCACCTTCCAACAGATGTGGATCTCCAAACAAGAATACGACGAATCAGGTCCTGGAATCGTTCACCGCAAATGCTTCTAAACTCCAAATTTTTGTCATACCTCTTACACATGCTTGTCATTCTCATCAATGTCATCTACATCCACGAGTTTCGTCGGCTGGACCATGCTACTCCATAATTCTTTTTCTCACCAATTTCACGAAGCTGCTGTGCTGTCTTGGAACTCTTGGAGAACCTCGAGAGGAAAAGATCTCAAAGTCTTCTTTACTCCACTCAGGAAGAATCCACCCCATCAAACTTTCCTCTGCTTTCTATTTCCTATTCTGAATAGTCATTATTCAGTCATTCATCTATTATTCCTATTTTGAATACTCAATTAATTCTGAATGGTCATTCCTATTTTGAATAGTAAATCTATTCCAAATAGTCATTCCTATTCCGAATATTTATTCTTTTTTCCTTTCTTCCTTCCTAATCGGAATAAACCCACGAAGACATGAAACAAGACTAATTAATATTAATATTAATCAAATTAATATTCAAATCAACATTTACACCAAGAGACAATTTTCGAGTAAATTAATCCTAAATCTTATTCTTAATCTTTAAAAGTTCGAAATAGAGAAAATTATTTTCCAATACATCGAATAAGGCGAAGAAGAATATCGAACCAGAAACTGAAGGAATACAAATAAAGAGAAATATTGGAGAAACGAAAAAAGTAAACTGAAGATAAATAAATAAACTGAAGAGAAGAAAAGAAGTAAAAGAAAGTATGACAAAAAGGAAACAAAATTCACCTTCCGAACGTTTAGAGAAAAGAAGACTTTAACACTTGTTGATACTTGGAGATGAAAAAAAAAAACTACTCAAGTGCCTTTATACACACATTTATCAGACTGTATTGTACTTTGTAGTTTAATACAACATGACTGTTTGTTAACTTAACGTTAATTAATTTATTGCTAGTCCTCGCACTGTAAAAGCGCGTTTTTTTGTGTACAATAGTACACACGGCTGTTTGTGATCGCGTTTTTTTTTTCTTTTAGAATCTAGAACCTCACCTTCAAAAAACTACTTCACTTTATCACTATTTTTGCTTGAAGATTGATAAAAACAAACGGGAGGTTTCTATATTGTCGCATCAACCATCAAATTCGCTAGTCTCATATTGATGCCTAGCGATCGTTTCATTTTCAAATCATCATCCTATATAATACTTTAAACTTGTATAAATAATGATAATGATATAATAAAGACATTATGTATGTAAATTTGTCTTTCTCTTCGTTTTATTATTATTATTCTATTATTAGATTGAAAAAAGTTATCAATAAATATTTTACTATCAATTTTCTCATTTTCCTCTTATTTATTTTTCTCTTCTCTAATTAATTTTTCTATTTATTTTTCTATTTATTATATTCTCATTTTTTTCGTATCGTCTATTTTACGTATGAAAATTTCCTCAGTGTGAAACAATTGGTAATTTCAGAACATAATTTAAATTTGAATCAATATTTTTATTTATTCAACCGAAATTATTTTTTTTGTTTCGTATGAAATTCGAATCAATAATTATCTGAAAGAATAAAAATTTGAAAAGATATTTCAGATTTGAAAAAGTCCGAAAAATTGAAAAATCGAGATTAGTTTTAAAAACAATATTCTCTTGTTTTTAGAAAGAAAAGTACTGTGACAATTTAGAGAAGGGAGGAGAAAAATAAAGACGGGGTAAAAATAGAAATCCCTCTTGCCAAGATCACGGCATATGGTAGCAGCCCTTTTTTTCTTCGTCTCGTTTCCTTTAAATTATATCATCCGATTCCACTTTGAATATTATTTTCAAAAATAGATTTAAAGAAAATATCGACTATAAAATAAATAATGAAATAATAAATGAAATGAAAGAACAATAAATAATTATAAAATTGTAATAATTATGAGTAAAAAATGAGTATAAAGTAGGAAAATATCGAGAAAAGTCGGCAGAGAAGAATGGAAAATACAGACTAAAAGTGAATCTAATTTGAATTGCGATTAGACCAAGATAGATTTTGAATCTTTGGTCATGGACCCCAGCTGCGTCTAGCCTTACAAGGCCCCTTGCATAGTAACTTGCAGTAACTTGAATATATCTCACATATTATTCTCCGAACGGTTGAAAATAAACCCTACACGTAAATGTGTTCAACACATTGCGTTTATTTTACTTTTGTAAGTAAATATAGATCGCAGGAAAACTAAAAAGTTCCGAATCAATTTTTGTCAAGTTCATTTCTGAAATACATAAATTAGTCAAAATTTGTCTATTCTATTAGAATTAAAATCAAATGAAAGAGTCTTTTCTTTTTTTTCTCCAAAAAAGAGAATAAATACAGAAAAGAAAAGAGAATAAATATAAAAAAGAATAAATAAATAAAATAGAAAATAGAATAAATAGAAAATAAAATAAATAAATAAATAAAATAGAGAATAAATAGAAAATAGAATAAATAAATAAAAAAGAGAATAAAAAAAGGAAGAGAATAAATAAAAAAAAATATATAAAAAAGGGAATAAATAAAAAATGGGAAGAATAAAAATTGAATAAAATAAAAAGTTATTAAAAATGTCCATTAATTACCTCTTTTTGTAACAAATGTAAAATTGTTGACAATTGGATTTATTGATGGACAATACGTCAAATTACTCCTGTAACTATAGCAACGTAGTAACCTGGTTTCCTTTTCTTCCGATTTATCGAATTTCCGTTGCATCATTATTTTTCTGTAAAAATAAAATGAGTATTTTAGAAGAAAAAATAGATTACAAATGTTTAGAAGAAGAATTACATCAGGCTATAAAAGATGATGAATTATATCAATTGCAAAATGACGCAAAGTTTAGAGCAATCGAACAAAAAGTACCGACCTACAAAGATTTTCGAGAAATGGTAACAATTTTAATTCAAATTCACTAAAACTGTCTAAATTTAGAAATTCATTCAATTAATATTTAATTATTTTCCCCTAAAAAATATTCTTATTTGCTTCCTCATTCTCTCTATTTCTCTATGAAATTGTTTTGGTGAAACTTTTCGATTGTGTTGTTTTGACATATTTTTATTTATTTTAATTATTTTTAATTATTTTCAATTATTTTTAATTTTGTTTTGATTTTATTTTTAAATCTCAAGAATCTTTTGAAACAAAAATAATGTATTTACAGGTAAATGCCGCTCACCTTCAACCATTAGCAAACAGTGATCAGAAAAATAGGACTTCAATATCTAAAAATATTTTCGCTAATCGATCAGAAGATTGGGATTTAGTTTCAAAAGCTCAAAATGTAAAATTAACTGCTCCACTTTTCGAAAGTGATGAAACACTTTCGAAAATTGTTCCAAAGGACACAAAAGAATTTTTGACTATTTGGAAAAAAATCACGAATTCTGAATTGAAATTCAATTATTTACTCGACTCGAGGTAATTAATTATCAATTAAACGAAGTAAAGTAATAACATTAAATATTAAATTGTTAGAAAATTGCTATCAAATTAATAATTGAATCGATAGCAAATTTCCTATCACATTAATAATTGAACCGTTAGCAAATAACTATCAAAAATTAATAATTGGATCGATCGTAAATTAATATAAAATTAATAATTGAATCTATAGAAAATTGCTATCAAATTAATAATTAAATTTCCAATTTAAAATAATTTGAGAAATTCATATTTTTCTTAAATTTACAGAGACCAATTGGGAAAAAAAATATTTATTAGCGAAATTCCATGCGAATTTTTCGAGGAAGTGATTATTATTTCCTCAAAGCAATTGTCGAGTTATAAAATAGAGAATATAATTGACTTATTTATTAAATTAAGCAAATGCAATCGTTTCGAGTTAAATTTAATTTTTTTGCCCGAAGATAAAAGGACGATTTTAAGGAAATTACTGCAAGATTTACTTTTAACCGAAATAAAAGATTCACAACAATTAACTGGCAAATATAAAACAATATTAAACTAGTACTTCCAATTTTTTAACTGTAACAACAAAGCTGAAAATATTGTTAGTTAAGTTCTGTTATTTTATGTGCGAAAATAAAAAAGTTAAATAGAATAACATTCCTTTCCATTTACCACGAAATTTTTCGTAAAAATAATAACAAATTTTCCATAAATTTGTTTCTTTTACAAAAAAAAAAATTCTTGAAAATTAAAGACAATTTTTTAAATAGGTAGAATTGAAATTCAAGATTTTTTTTTATAATTATTAATTCATTATAATTACAGACCTCGAATGACTTGAAATTTATTTGAATTCAAAATGTTATCGTGCGAAATGCGGATTTCCTTTTTTATTATTCGGAAAATTCAAACAGTTTTAACTTTTAAATATAGAAATTACAATTTTTGAATAATTTCAGATTCAAAAAGAAAATCAATTATTATTATTATTTTTTAGACTGTTAATACAATTCTTTGAAACAATTTAATTATTTTTGGAAAATTTTAATAAAATTCATCGCTCGAATTCAATTTTATTTCAAAAATTTTAATAACATTCTTGGCAAAATCTCAATAATTTTCATAAATTAAAGAAATAAATTATCAATTTTTAAAAAATAATTGAAATAATTGAAATAATTGAATTTTTGCGAAGAATTTTTATTTTTATTCTCTTGAAAAATATTATTATTTGGGAAAATAATTGAAAAATTGTGAAGAATTAAAGAATTTATATAAATTTTTATGAAAAATAATTGAATTCTTGCGGTAGAATTTTATATAAAGTTTTTAAATTGATTTTTTTCGAAAAATTTTATGAAATATTTTAAATAATTAAATTCCTGGGAAAATTTTATTACTTGTAAAAAAAATTGAATATTTGCGAAGAATTTTATCAAAAATCTTTTATGGAATTTTATTAAAATTATATAGATATTTTATTACAATTTTTTGAATTTTATTTTATTTCAACTATTAGCGAATTTAAAGTGATGCAAATTTCCCCTGAAAACTAAAGAAAAAATTAGCTTTTAGTTTCATAAATCTAAAAAAGTATACAAATAGTAGCAAATTGTTAAAAATAGAAAATAAATAGTAGGTTTTAGTAGATGATTGCAAAGTCTGAATTCACTTCATTCACTTTTACAAAAGTTTACATTTATAAATTGTAAACGTTTTGTAATTAATTATTTAATTAACTATTTATTTATTTAAAATTGAGCAATTATTAATCTTATTTGCAAACTTTACAAACATCTTGAAAAATAGGTGAAAAAGAGAAAAATTTTCAAAAAAAAATCATAACCGAAAAATTGCAAAATTTAAACTTTGCTTTTAAATTTGAGGTTAGATTTTAAGCGTCAGGTGTCAATTAAAAGTGAACTGCGTACTCTATATTGTTTGAAAACGTTTATAATTAACTTTCCCGTTATATATAATTATTTTCATAAACTCACAGTCTTATTAGTTGATGATTGACGAGGATAACGATGCATATGACGCAACCGGTGCCTTTTCCAGAAATCGATATCTCCTTAACAGCCGGGTTTTTGTCCACGCATCTACTATTATCGTCAGTCATTTTTGGTGGTGGTGGTGAAGAAATTTCCATAAATCGTCAATCCAAGTTATAAATTAGCTTTTTTTTAGAAAAATAGTAGATAGTAACAATATTTTAAATTCAAAAGAAAACTATTAATTCCCTAAGAAAAACAATTGAATAGTAACAAGTACTTCAGTTGGAATTGTTTTTTTTAGTTTGTGATTTTTTATCCATGGGGATTTTTCGCAAATAAGACAACTTATTCGGATCTCAATTCGGACTGAAAGAAATGGAACAGACTGTTTTGTGAATAAATAAAAAATATGTTCAGTGCATTTGTGCAATATTGTTTTCATCATCAAAATGCAGAGAAGATTGAATCAGATGCCATTGAGAATCAATTCCGAGGAGCAAGTGTTCGAAATGGACGAAGAGACTGATTATCTTTTACAAACTTCCGAAACTAATATTCGATTAATGACAGCTAGAAATCGTAGATATTCCAATTGTTTCAATTCGATGCGTCGTCTATTTTGTGGGTGAGTAATGATTTCAATTGATTTCTCTATTTTCAATTTAACAATAATGACAAATGTCAACAAAGCTCATAGTCATGCTAGTTTGTTTTGATCGCTACAGGTGGCAGTACTGATTACTTCTCTGCACGAATTTCAAAATTCACTTTCAATTTTTATATTTATTTCTTTACTTACTTTATAAAATTACAATTTTAAAATAATAAATTACATATCTATTTATGATTTCTTCATTTTACGCTTGAATTTCTTTTTTAAAAACTAGTTTTAAGTTTTTTTTAGTTTTGTCGTTTAGTTCCGTAATGCTCCGCGTGGCGGCGCTCGGATGCTTTGCATGACTCGAGTTTCTCCTCTAAGTTCCAAGTCTATGGTTTAATCAGCTGGCGAAACGTCAGATCGTAAATGTCATTTTTGATTTTAAAGAAGGTGTTTATTTATCAATAGAATTTAATCATAGTTGACGAAAAAGTGTTCAATTATTCCTCATGTTTATGAAAAGTGTTTAAATGGAGGGCCCAAGTCATGTGACACTGCGACTTTCCAAGGAAGATATTCCCTTGATATCAAAACCTCGAGTGGCAGGACCGTTTTCTAGGTGACACATTTTATTGCATGAAAAAAAATCAATTCTTCCTCTTTAATATTTCATAAATATTATTTTATACGAATAACTTTAACATACACACATAATAGTCGAATAGTTATTATACAATTCGCGTATATATTATATTGTTAGGTTAAACTTGTTTTTGTCTCGTTTTTGTAGGTTATGTTTCAGCGAAAAAATATATAAAACAAAAGGGTCGTATTTTTTTTATTCTTGTTTCTTTAATCATCATTTTACCATTATAAAATATACATTAAACATTAAAAATAATTATTTAAACATAGTATTCTTTTTTTCTAAAATTTATTTCAGAATTGCCGAGTAAAATTTTAAGTAAATAAGTTAAGGAAGCAGCAGATTTGCGAAATTTTTAATTACAAAAAAAGTGAAGAGTACAATGAGAGAGGGAGCTGTACCAAACAATGTTCAAACAGAACAGAGAAGCAAAACGACGAAGTAAATAATTTTTTTTCGAAAAAAAAACAAAAATTGTTGGTGAAAAGGGTGAAATATTTTCTTAACGCTATTTCTTCTTTTGTTTTCTATTAAAATCACATGAAAATTTTATTTTTATTTCGGTTATTGGGGCTAAAAAATCAGGGTCACCTTTTATTATGGCTTTTGCTTCATTCTCGCTAGTAACAATTTTTTAAAACACAATGCTTGAAATTTTGTCAAAGAATTGGAGCAAATCAGCTTTTTTTGCTATAAAGTTTGGAATTGTATCCCTTTCTTGCTGAACTTTTTCAATAGAAGTAAAAAGGAAGAAAGTTGTAATTTTTCCAATAGACAAAGCTTTTTTAATTTTATAATTCTTAATTTTTAACACAATTTTTTTTATAGCACATTTTTGAAAATATTAGTAAAGAAAAAAATCAATTAGTATGTATTTATTGTTTAATTAAAAGTCGCTTGAAATGCTTCCTGTTTCCCTTGTTGAGAAAAAGAGAGAAATGATAAATGGTAGTTTTGTTGGTTTTTCAAATTTTCGGTGATGGTATTTAAAATTCTTGGTTTTTCAAAATTTTAATCTTTTTACTTATTTGCAAACTCTTGAAAGAACATTTTTTTATTTGAATTAAAATGTAAAATTGCTAAAAAATTGAAGAAAAACTGGGACTACTATTTCTTCATATTTCATAAAATTGAATTGCAAATTGTGGAAAAAGAAAAAGAAGTAAATTAATTTGTTTTTTATAGGTGTTGCTCGTGGATGTGGCGAAGATGTTGCCGAGAACGGGAACTTCGGGCCCGAACGATACACATTGGCCAACCGATTCATCACAAATTTCCGACGAACGTTATTCGAAACCAAAAATACAATATTATTACATTTCTTCCAATGGTAAGTTCACAATTAATTAATTAAATAATTTCCATCAAAAAGAAAATAAAATTTGAACGAGATCTTGAGTAATTGTTTATTAACTTTCTTTCTTTTTTTTTTTCTTTCTCTTCGTTGATACATATTAATTATTTGGTTTGATTACAAAGGTTCTTTTTTTAAATAATATAATACTGTCAGTTTTTCGACTATTAATTTCGAAATTTATTAGTACACGTATATATTTTATATTTATATATTTTTACAAGTACAAAAATTAAATTTCTATTAACTACATTTTTTATTTAAACATAATTTTAATTTTAAACAAAATTTTATTAAACATAATTTTCATTTTAAACAAAATTTTATTAAACATAATTTTTATTTTAAACAAAATTTTATTAAACATAAATTCTGTATTCTAAATTCTATAATTAAATAATTAACAAGAAATGTTTTTTTTTCAAGTAAAAGTTTATTAATTTTTTGTTTGCTTCGAATTCAAGATAAATTTTTTATTTGTATTTAATTCAAGATGAATTTTTTTATGAAAATATTTCAGGAAAATTTTGATTGTTTTATTATTTTTAATAATAACTTTAACGAGAAATTTTTTTTTTTCAAGTAAAATTAATAAAAAAGAAAAATAATTTTGAAAAATTAATGAAATACAATTAAAAAAGATTAAATCGTGAAATGAAAGTGAATTTACGAAAATGCAGTTAAGTTTTTGGTGTTTATTAGAAAAATAATAATTTAAAACTAAATATTAATAACAAATTTTTTAAATTAAAATTTTTGTTTAGAAATTAAAAATTGCAATGTAAAAATTGAAATTAACAAACAATTTATTCAAAAACCTAATTTTTGAATAAATTTATGACTTCAATTATTCAAAAATTTAATAAACTTGTTAAATAAATTATATTATTATATTATTATAAAAAAATATATTTTTATTATACATCTATAAAAAAAACATATTATTTTTTCTACAGGAGTTACAATTTTTTAAATTTGAATTTTTAAAAACTGCAAATAAATTTTAATTATTTTCTGGAATTTTTAACTAAAATTATTATTCTAAAGTTTCATACTGCTTCTAATATTATGCAAATAAAATAAAATTTTTTATATTAATTTAAATTTTCTAATAATTGTTAACTTTATCTTATATTTAATTATTTTTTAAAATTGATACTGTGACTTCTACAAAATTCAATTATTTTCTAAAATAGTTTACTAAAATTCTTTTCTAAATCAATTTTTTAAAAATTTATTCTTCATTATTATAACTTCTTATCTTTTTGTAAAAAAGTCCAATATTGTTAAAAAAAAAGCATATTAAATGTATAATTGAGAAATAATAAATCAATTATTATTAAAAAAAGAAATTTATCAGAATTATTGAAAATGATAAATTCCTCAGAAGAATTTTATTTAAATGTTTAGAAATAATTGAATTCTTTTAACGAATTTAATTAAAAATTTTTTTTGAATATTTGAATTTCTGTTTAGAATATTATTATTATTATTATTATTATTATTATTATTCATCAAAACTATTGAAAATGATTAAATTCCTCAGAAGAATTTTATAACTTATCAAAATAATTCAATTCTTGAGACGAATTTTATTCAAATTTGTGAAAATAATTGAATTTTTTGCGAAGAATTTTATTAAAATCATTAAAAATAATTTAATTCTTTCTAGGAATTTAATTTAGATTGTAACAAAAAAAAATTAAATTCTTGTGTGGAAATTTATTACTTGTGGAAATAATTGAATTCTCATTAAAAATTTTATTGAAATATTTAAACATAATTCAATTCTTGGGAAGAATTTTATTAAAATTTTGGAAAATAATTAAATGCTTGCTGGAAATTTTTTTTTATGAAAATAATAATTGAATTCTTTTCAGGAATTTAATTCAAATTGAATTGAAAATAATTAAATTCTTTCAAGAAATTTTATCTAAATTTTTCTATAATAATAATGGAATTATTTCGAAAATATTTGTAAAATTACTAAAAATAAGTAAATTATTTTAAAGACTTTTAATGAAATTTTTGAAAATAATTGAATTCTTGTGAAATTTTTATTTTATGAAAGTAATTGAATTCTTGCCAAGAAAGTAATTAAAATTTTTGAAAAAAATTGAATTCTTTCATAGAATTTTATTTGTATTTTAGAAAATAATGAGCAATAATAATGAATTAGTTAATAATTGAATTTTTTTTTTAATTTTGTGTTTGAATAATTTTTGAATAATTTCTTATTAAAAAATTTGAAAATGACATTAAAACTTTTTGGATTTTCCTAATAATGAAAAAAAGGAAATTCGCATTTCGCGCGTAACCTTTTTTCATTCAAATAAATTTCAGTTTTTTAACCATTTTAATTCGAAGAAAATTTAAATTCATTCGAGGTCTGTAATTATATTCCATTAAATAATTATAAAAAAAAAATTATCGTATAATTTTGCATTTAAAAAATTGTCTTTAATTTTCTAGAATATAATGGAATGAGAGGCGAGAGAAAAAAATTCTGAAAAAGTTTCGTCGCTACAGAATTTTTCAACTTCTACAATATTGAATAATTGAATTGAAAATATTTACAATTATTATTTATCGACAACAGCTTCTAAAATTTCCTGCATAAGATCCTGTCGAGAATAGAGTTCACTGAATTCCGACGTTGATATTGCATCTTTAATATTTTGTCGCAAAAATTTTAATGTTTTTGCCCGTAAATTTTTGGCATTATGCCGATCGGCGAGTAATAAAATACTTGGCGCCTCTCTCACTGTTATGTCGGAGAATATTTTCTCGCACATCTCCTTTAATTCTTCAATTTGATATTTATCCGCAGCTTCGAGTATTTCAAAGGAAAAATTCTTCAAGTCCTTAACATTCCCAGTGTAAATGAAACGTAACATTTCATTAAAAGCAATTGGATGAATATCCGGTATATTTACCACATTTCTCGTTTTTTCCGTTAAATTCTGTTTGAACATTGCCAGAAAAACAGGGCTGCGAACCGAGAGAATTGCTTTATGAACTTTAAAACTCGATTCACCGACAGTGAATGTAAAATCGGTTAATAATTTTTCACGACGCAATCGATCGAGATCAATTGACAGTGGACATCGATGAAAACCGGGATTCTCATCGCTTGATAAATAAAATTCACTAACATTACATCTTATCATTAGGGAATCGTTTGAATCGAGTTTTTCAATTATTGAACTCTCAATTTCGAGCATTAGGATTTTTGGAATTTTATCTTTTGTCCAAACACTGTTTGATTTGAGAATTCGTGAATCGGTGTTTAATTGATTTTGTAGAGTTGTTTCCATAATGCATTTTTGTAATTCTTTACTGGGTTTTATTTCCAATTGAACGAAATAACTTGATTTGCCGGGTTGACGTGTGTGTTTTGAGGAATAAATTAATTGAAATTGAAATTTCGTCTCGTAATTAAAATTGGAGGGGAATATTTTCGATTCGGCTGGTGTATTTTGAAAGATGTCGATGTGAGACGAAAATTCTTTTATTTCCCATGTACAAACTCGTTCCGATTTTATTATACTTGTGATTAAATGAATTCCGGTTTCGTAAAAACTTTCAGACGATTCGCCGGACATTTCCTTTGTTTTTTTACAAAACTGATGTTACTTTCTGAAACAGAAAAAATATGCATTTACTTATTTTTTTATTTCGTTAATCGTTAATTTTATTTTTTCAAATTTTTGAATATTTATTATTTAATTAGTGAATTTCTGAATTTATAATTTAAATATTTTTTCTTTCAAATAAAAAAAAGAGAAGATTAAACACTAAAGATTGAGAAATTCAAAAATGATTTTTGTTTTGATGACAGAAAAAAAAGACGAGATAAAATTAATGGAAAAAAAAAATAAACTTTCAAAATAATTAAAATTAGATTTTTTTTTCAGTAATTTCTACACATTTTTGTGCTTTTTTCAATTTTTGCTTCTTTGAATAAAGAAAATAAAAATCAATATGTACATGTCACCTAACCTGGTAAGAAAGTTATTTTTTTTCTAGTTTCTGCTCCATTTTAGAATTATTTGGAAGAACATGAAAATTTTCTTTGGTCTTTAAGAAAAAAGTATTCTATTCGTTAAACTTTTATCTTGTTGCTTAAATTATTGTTCGTTTGACACTACACTTATAAGAACTAGGACTGAGTATTGACTCTTAGACAATTTTTTTTATTTAATTTTGGTGTGATTTTCAAAGCAAGTGCTACCAACTTTGTCAAGAGAAGTGATATATGTATACATATAATTATATATATATCTGTGAAATCGATATTGTTTGACTTTTTGTCCGCTCAGTAGTAATTTTGTGCAATAAAATTCCATGAGATTCTTACGAGGTTCAAAAAAATGATAACAAAAACAATTTTGCATATTTAATTGTATATATTTATTGGAATCGATTTCATTCTCAATATTTATTTATTATCGAGGAGAAATCTGTAGTCAATAAATTTATTTCTAATTATAATTTAATAATTATTAAGAAATTAGTTAATTATTAATTGAATAGTAATTTAAGGAGTTTAGTTAAAATTGCGTTAAAAATAATTGAATTCTTATAAAGAATTGTATCAGAATTTTTGAAAATATTTGAATTCTTTCAAGCAATTTTAAAAAACAAAATTTTTAATAATGGAATTCTAACGAGAAATTTCTTTTTCCATTGTACTTATTGAAGATAATTAAATTTCTGAAAAAAATTGTTATTTATGACAATAATTCAATTTTTGCGACAATTTTCATTTAAATTTTTGAAAATAAGTCAATACTTTCAAGAAATTTATTTTAAAATCCATTGAAAATCATTCAATTCTAATAAATCAATTTTATTCAAATTTTTGAAAATAATTGAATTTTTTTCGATAAATTCTATTTAAATTGGATTAAAATTAATTGAATGTGTGCTTTTGAAAAAAATTAAAAAACAATAACATTTGTAAAAATAGGTAGCAATTCAATTGTTTCAAAGAAAATTCAACTCATTTCGAAAATAATTGAATTTCTGCAAAGAATTAAATAATTAAATTTTTGCCAAGAATTTTATTAAAATTCCAATGAACAAATTTTATTTAATTTTTGAATATAATTGAAATCTTGCCAACAATTTTATCCGAATTTTCGAAAATAATTGAATTTTTGCCAAGACTTTTATTAAAATTCTTAAAAATAATTAAATTCTAGAAATTTTTTCCAAAAATTTAATTTAAAATCGTATTGAAAATAATTCAATTCTTATAAAGAATTTTTTCAAAATTTTCCGAAATAATTAAATAATTTTCAAAATATTTAAATTTTTTGAAAGTAATAGAATTTCTGCCAAGAATTTTCTTTAAATTCTTTAAAATAATTGAATTTCAAGAAAGAATTTAATTAATTTTCGAAAATAATTGAAATGTTGCTGAGAAATTTTGTAAAATTTTCGAAAATAATAATTTAATTTTTTCGAGAAATGTAATTGAAATTATATTAAAAATATTTTAATTCTCAATAAAGAATTGTATCAAAATTTTTGAAAATAATAGTTAATAATAATAATTTGTGCTAAGGAGTTTATTGTTTAAGTTAAAAAAATTAGAAAACAATGAAATTTGTAAAAATACAAATTCAATTGTTTCAAAGAAAATTTTAATTATTTTCAGAAACTTAATAGAAATTTTTTAAAAATAATTTAATTCCTCAGAACAATCACAATCGAATTTTTGAAAAAAATTGAATTCTTTCGAGAAATTTTTATAAAATTATTTTGAAAATAATTGAATTTATTTAATTGAAAATTTTTATTGAAATTACTCGTGAACAATATAATTGTGAAGAAAATTTCAATTTGATGGAATAAAAATTTAAGGAAAAAAATAAATAAATAATTAAACTTTTTTTTGTTTGTTTCAGGTACTGTATCAGCAATTCAAGTTTTTCTTGAATCTATTCTTCCTGATAATGGCATTATCACAATTTATACCGGAAATAAGAATAGGATATTTGTACACGTATTGGGGACCTTTGAGTTTTGTTTTAATGGTCACTGTCTGCAGAGAAGCTGTGGACGATTTTCGAAGATATAAACGTGACAAGGAAGTTAATAATCAAAAATATTATAGACTCGTTAAGGGTTTCAATACACCGGAATTAGTGCCCAGTTCAAAACTTCGAGTTGGTGATTTAGTAAGTATATTTTATTCGACTTCTTTCTCTTCGGAATCGTCCGAAACCAAAAATTGTAGTAATTACTTAATTTTTTAATTAAATGAATAATTAGATCAATAATTGAAAAATTGTTCAACTAGTCTATGAATTTTCTTTCTTAAATTAAAAAAAATTCAGGTCTAAGTTTAAAAAATTATTTAAAAATATTATAGTATTTTTTTGGAGAATTGCAACTAAAAATTTAGAAAATAATAATTAAATTTTACAAATTTTTTGTATTTAAATAATTATTTTCCTTTAAAAATTATTAAAGTATTGAATAATTTTATTAAAAAATTCTAAAAAATAATTGACTTTCGGAAAAATTGCAGTTGTAATTTTTAGCAATAAATTAAATTTTAAAAGATTTTACATTGAAATTATTTGAAATTTCAATTAATAATTGAATTATTAATTAATAATAAATAATTTCTAGGTAATTGTGGAGAAAGGACAGCGAGTGCCTGCCGATCTTGTATTGTTGCGTACGACTGAAAAATCAGGTGCTTGCTTTGTGAGAACTGACCAATTGGACGGCGAGACAGATTGGAAATTGCGATTGGCGATTCCAGCGACACAAAAACTCGATAACGATTTACAATTGTTTGATATTAAAGCGAGCTTGTACGTTGAAAAGCCGCAAAAAGACATTCACAGTTTCATTGGAACATTTACATTAATCACTGGAGTAGGTTATTTATATTAAAGAATTTTTTTTTTATTTTCAATAATATTTTGACCTAAAGGCCTAAAAAGATTAAAATTTCGTTTTCTTTTTCAGCAATATGATGGTTTCAGTAGTGAAGAAAGCTTGGGAGTGGACAATACTTTATGGGCGAATACGGCAATTGCTTCGGGATCGGCGCTTGGAGTTGTTGTTTACACCGGTCAAGAAACGAGATCGTTGATGAATCATTCAGCTCCAAGATCTAAAATTGGATTATTAGATCAGGAGATTAATCAATTGACAAAGGTAATATAATTTTTATTACTTATAATAATTTCACGAATTTCCCTTTTTTTTTTTTTTTGCTTATTTTCACTTTTTTCGTCACATTTCATATTTTATTTTTATTTCATATTTTCTTAATTTTCATCTATTTCGACTATTTTGTAAAAAAAATGTAACTTTTTGACTTTATCACTCGGTAGCAGAGCTCGAACTTGAAATTTGCTTGAAGTTTGTAAAAGTCTGTTTTTTTTAAATTGTCCATAAAGTCCGTAATTTGTTTGAAAAAGGTACGAAAAGTTCTTAAATTTTACTATATAAATTGGAGAATTTTTGAAAAGTTACAAATGATTGCAGAAATTCAATTATTTTCAAAAGTAATAAAATTCTTCACAGAAATTCAATTATTTTCTTAAATAATAAAATTCTTCGCAAAAATTCAATTATTTTTATAAAAAAAAATTCTCCAAAATTCAATTATTTTCAATATTTACTATTTTAATAAAATTTCCTAAAAGAATTCAAGTATTTTTTTTAAAAAAATGTTAATAAAATTCTACGCATAATTTCAATTACTTTTAACGCAATTTTAATAGAATTCCTTGAAAAATGTAATTATTCTTCAACATTTTATTAAAATTTGTCAAAAGAAATCTATTATATAAAAATTTGTTGATAAAATTTTTTATGAGATTTTAATCTTAAAAACATTCAATTATTCAATAAATTATTTATTTTTGTATTTAAAGAATTGAATTCTCGTAGAATTTTCTAATAATATTATTAGAAAGAATATTTTTATTATTATTAAAATTTATGAAAAGAATCGAATTCTTCCAAAGAATGTTATTAAGATTTTTCATAATAATTTAATTCATGACAAGAATTTTATTGAAATTCTTGAAAATAATTTAATTCTTGACAAGATTTTTATTACAATTCTTTAAAATAATTAAATTGTTTTCAAGAATTTATTTCAATTTTCTTAAAAATAATGGAGTTTTTTCAATAATTTTAAGTTTTAACTGGAAATTTAGAAACAGATAGAAAGTAATTGAATTTTATGAAAAATTTCTTCAAAGTTTTTGAAATAATCGTGTTTACTATTAATTGTACTTAATTTTCCTATTAAATTATATTAAAATTATTGACAGAAAATCCAATTTTTTTAAACAATTTTATTAGAGTTTTTTTTAAATAATAACATTTTTTCGATGAATTTCATTACCTAATATTTGTTAAAAATAATGTATTTGTTTTTAAAATAATTTTAATTGAAAATTTTGAAAATAATAATTGGAATTTACAAAGATTTTTATCAAAAACTTTTGAGAACAATTGAATTGTTTAGAAAAATTGTATTACAATTTCGAAAAATAATTGAACCTGTTTGAGAAATTTCACTAAAATTATCTTGAATATAATTGAATTTTTTCCTAGACATTTTATTAAAATTGTATTGGAAAGTAATTGAATTTCTGAAATGAATTTTATTATTTATAAAAATAATAGAATTCTTGTCAAGAATTTTACAATTTATAAAAATTTGAATTGTTTCGAAGAAGTTTATCAGAATTGTTGAAAATAATTGAATTTTTATTAATTAAATCTCTTGAAAATAATTGAATTTAAATAATATTTTTTAAAAATAATTGTATTTCTCCGAAAAATTTCATTATTTTTGCAAATAATTGAATTGCTTTAAAGAATTTTATTATCTATGAAAATATTTTAATTCTCACAAAAAATTTTTTTATTTACGAAAATAATTGAATTTTTGAAAAATAGTTAATAAGAATATTTAAATTTTGTACTTAGTAAGTGAATTCTTTAAATTTTGAATCTGTAATCATTCAAAAATTGAGTTCAATTATTTTTATAAATAGTCAAATTCTTTGCAGGAATTCAATTATTTTCAAAACAATTTTAATTGAATTCCTCGGAATAATCCAAATATTTACATAAATTTCAACTATTTCCTAAAACTTTTAAAAATTCTTTGAAAGAATTCAACTATTTTTATAAATACTAAAATTCTTTGCAGGAATTAAATTATTTTTAATCTAATTTAAATAAAATTTCACAAAAGAATTTAATAATTTTCAAAAATTTACATAAAATTCAATTTTAACAAGAATTTAAAATTCTCTAAAAATAATTCAATTATTATTAAAATATTTAAAAAAATTCTATATGAAAATTAAATTAATTTCAATGCAATTTTTAAATATATTCGTCCCAAAAATTGAAAGAATTCAATTATTTTGAAAAAAACTTAATTTTAATAAAATTCTTTACATAAATTCAATTTTTTTTGGAAACAACTTGAATTTCTCGAAAAAATTTAATTATTTAAAAATATTTCTATAAAATTCTACAAAACAATTCAATTATTTTCTAAAATTTTAATAAATTCTTCGAAACATTTCAATTATTACTTCCTCATAGAGGAAGTATTTTTATAAATAGTAAAATTCTTCGCAATAATTCAATTATTTTTATAAATAGTAAAATTCTTTGCAGAAATTAAATTATTTTTACAAATAATAAAATTCTTCGAAGGAATTCAATTATTTTTAATACAATTATAATAAAATTCTTCTTCATAAAATTCAATTGCTTTCAAAATTTTCAATAAAAATTATTAAAGATACTCCGTTATTTAAAAAAAAATTCAAAGAAATTTTCCAAAAGAATTTAACTATGATTTTTAACATTTTTTTTTTTATTTATTTTGTAAATTTTTCAAATATTTTCAATCTAAAGTAATTAAAAAGAAAACCAAAAACTTGTTTCGTAAAAACTAAAAATTAATATTTTGCTGTTTTTGTTTCATAGGTCTTATTTTGCGCAATGATCGGTCTCGCTCTAGTGCTGATGATTTTAAAAGGATTTAATGGACCCTGGTATCGATACATGTACCGTTTTGTTCTTCTATTCTCGTACATTATTCCCATTAGTTTACGAGTCAATCTCGATATGGGAAAAACATTTTACGCCTGGTGCATTCAACGTGATAAGGAAATTGCCGGCACTGTTGCGAGGACAACGACAATATCCGAAGAATTGGGGAGAATTTCTTATTTACTCAGCGATAAAACCGGCACATTGACGCAAAATAAAATGGTCTTTAAGAAACTTCATCTTGGAACGATATCCTATGGACAGGAGACATTCGATGAAATCACTTCTGTATTGAAGAGTTATTATACATTATTGGAGTCGGGAACTATCCCTGGACATGGATATCCAATTCATTCTGGAAAAGTGAGACGATCAGAGAGTACAAGAATTTTGGACGCTGTCAAAGCGCTGGCACTTTGTCACAATGTCACACCAGTTTACGATGACAATAGTAGCAATAATTTGGATTCGGAGAGTGTCGAGACTGTTGAGACGGTAGATACAAATTCAATCGAGAGGTAAGTGGATCTATTTTTTCCAATTTCTTCGAATTTTTTTTGAGAAACTGACGTTTTATTGGATTAAAATTAGTGTACGTCAGATTTTCGATTTCGAAGAGATTTTGGTGTAATTTTTTATTTAATAGAATGAAATTTTATTTAACAGAATTCAACAATTCTATTAATTCTATTAATTCTATTAACAAATTACAAAATTTTAAACAATCTATCTATTTTCTATATTAATAATCGTTGAATTCAGGTAGTGTGTTCACAGTTTGAAATTAGTTTCTTATTTACTTTTTCGTTTCCTTTTCTGATAATGTTTATTATTAAACAAAGGTGTTGAATTTTGAAATTAACAAAATTAAAATTTAATGCTTTTGAAGAAGAAAAAATAACAAAAATTAAAGCAGCAAAATTGTTTTCAATTAAAAATCATAGCTAAATTTGTAAATTTAATTCAACATTCTATTTTATTTTCATCTTGTTCTATGAAATTAAAAAATTAATTTTCGGAATTTTCATATTACTTTTGTTCTAACAAGTTTAAATTCTTACTAATTCAGATTTATTATTTACTTATTCAGAGAATAAGTTTTGTAGAAATACTTTATCGAGAAAAATTTATAAATTATATTATTTTCTATAATTTTGCATGGATTTTAAAAAAAAAATTTAAGGCATTTTTGTTTAAAAAATGTGATTCTAATTCAAGTCTTCTAAAAGATTTAGTCCCAAATTTTGAAAACAATTGAATACCTTTTAAGGAATTTTATTAAAATTTTACAAAAACTGAATTCTTTCGACATATTTTATTAAAATTGTATTGAAATTATAAAATTTTTCCATACAATGTTATCAAAATTTTCTTAAATAATTGAAATCTTAAAAGGAATTTTATTAAATGTTTTAAAAATAATTTAATCTCATCAAAAAATTGTATTTAAAAATAATTGAATTCCTCTAAAGACTTTTATTATTTATAAAAATAATTGAATTCCTCTGAAGAATTTTTTTTATTCAAATAATTGATTTCCTGCGAAGAATTTTATTATTTACGAAAATAATTGAATTTTTGTGAAGAATTTTCTTATTTACGAAAATAATTGAATTTTTCCGAAGAATTTTATTATTTACGAAAATAATTGAATTCTTGTGAAAAAGGGTATTAAAATTTTTTAAAATAATTGAATTGTTATAATATAAATTTTTGAAAATAATTAAATTTTTTGAAGGAATTTAATTATCAATTGATTCAAAATAATTTAATTCTTATAAAGAAATTTCATTAAAAGTTTTGAAAATTATTGAATTTTTTGCAGAAATTTTACTAAAGGAATTTTTATAAACATTGTATTGAAATTATTTAATTTTTCCAAACAATGCTATCAGAATTTTTTTAAATTATTGAATTCTATCAAGAAATTTTACTAACTTTTTTAAAAATAATTGAATCTCATCAAGAAATTGTATTCATAATAAATTAATTCATCCGAAGAATTTTTTTTATTTCTGAAAATAATGTAATTATTGCCAAGAATTTAATTAAAAAATTGTATTAAGAATAATTAAACAATTGTTTACGAAAATAATTGAGTTTTTTCGAAAAATATTATTATTTATGGAAATAAATTTAATTCTTGCGAAGGATTTTATTATTAATAAAAATAATTGAATTCTTGTTAAGAATTTTATTGACAATAATTCAATTCTTTTGGTAAATTTTATCAAAAAGTTGTATTAAAAATAATTGTTTACGAAAATAATTAAGTTTCTTTTGAAAAATTTTAATATTTATGAAAATAATTGAATTCTTGCAAATAATTTAATTACTTTCATATAAAAATTAATTAATTTATGGAAATAATTGTATTTTTTCTAGAAATTTAAATAAAATTCTATTGAAAATAATTGAAATCTTGCGAAAAATTCAATTATTTTCATAAATAATTAATTAATTATGGAAATAATTATATTTTTGGGAAGAATTTTATTAAAAATTGGTGAAAATATTAAATAATTGAATTCTTGGAAAGAATTTAATTAAATTTTTTCTAAATAATTGAATTTATGCAAAAAATTGTCCGAAAATTATTAAATTTATCCAAAATTTATTTTTAAAATATTTTATTTTTTTTCGAGAAATTTTATTAACCTTTTTCTGAAAATAATTGAAATCTTGCAATTATTTCAATTATATTTATAAATTATAAATTTATTTATGGAAATAATTATATTTTTTGGAGAAATTTTATTAATAATTGTTGAAAGTAATTGAATTCTTGCAAAAATTGTTATAAATTTTGAAAATAATTGAATTTTTCAAAGTATTTTATTATTATTTTAGAAAATAGTAAATAATAATAATTTATTATTTGACATTTATTTTTTTTATTAAGGCATTAATTTATTAAAATTTTATTAGGCATTTATTTTTTTTATATTTTGAATCTGAAATTATTCTAAAATTTGAAATTTGTGTAATGATAAATCAAATACCGCGTTTCGCTCGAAATCACGCTAAAACTTTTACAATTTATTAAAAAAACGTAAATCTTGAAATTTTGAAATATTAATTATTCAAAAAGGATTCAAAGGATGAAAATGAAATTCCGTACAATCAATAGAAAATGTTTTTAATACAAATATTTAAGATTCAACTGAACATGATTTGGTATTTTACACATTAATAGTTATCAGTTCGTTGACTATTTTACTTCGTAACTTAAAAAACTTTTTAAAATGAACGAAAAACTTTATTGAATTCAAAGGTATTTAAATCACTTTTCTTCGGTATAAAAAAAATACTGTTTCTTATTTATTCCTGAGAAACGCTAATTTATGAAGTAAATTATAATAATAATAGCTGCTCTGGTAGAAAAATTATATCTATTTGATAATAAACAATACGTAAGATCTTATGTTTAGAATACTAAAAAATAGAAATAGGGGAAAAAAATTCTTTCTTGAATTTCAAACATTTTTTTTATAAATTTAACTATAATGAAAATTATTTAAGCAAATTTTACTAGTAATTCTCCTCCTCATTCCTTATTTTTTGCAACTTTCGCGAAAATCTTCTCAGTTCATTGGAAAAATCGATTTTCCTCGAATTTCCCATTTCACGATGTTGGGAAGGATTTTTCTGGTTTTTAAAATTGTCGACAGAAGTGGAAATATTTCTCGTCGATGTCGATGGCGATGATGAAGATGAAGATGTGGATTTGGTGAGATTTGATGAATTTGTCTTCTCTTGTTTTATTTTGTCGAAGGGAATTAAATTCAGGAAATTCAGTGCTTCGTCGGGAATTTTCGATGCAATCGATACGCAGGCATTGAAATTTTTACCTAAATTCTTGAGCATATTTATATTTGGTTTCACGTCTTCAGTTTCCTCTTTTATTTTTTTTGTCGAACTTTGAAAGTTTCTTGAAGACTTAAAATCGTCGACCTCGACGTCATCGTAGTCGTCGTCGGAGAGTCTTTGCTTTTTAATTTGTGGATAATTTTGTTCTTTTTTACGCTTTCTTCCTGTTGTTTCTGTTGAATTGCGACTGTTTGGTTTGTAATTGTCGTCTTCGTATATTCTCTCAATTTCTTCATTGTAATTTTTATTGTAATAATTTGGTTTTAGATTGGAAGACAAATTGTCATCGTAGTTTTTGTCACTATCGTAGTCGTTTTTGTCACTGTCGTAATAATTTTTGTCACTATCGTAGTCATCATCAGAATCGTCATCGTCATCGTCATCGTCGGAATCGATTTCCTTTTTAATTAGCGACAATGGATTGACGACGATAGCTTTCTCTGATTCTTCCAATTCCATTTGTTGTTTTTTATAATTTTCCTCCGCTTCTTTCCTCCTTTTTTCCTCTTTTATTCTTCGTTTTTTTCTTCGTTTCTCTGCAATTTCGGGAAAGTAGTAGCGTTTCTTGTGACGTCGTTCGCCATGACGCGAAGAATGTCTGTCGGGGCGCTCGTTACGTTCCCTTCGGTTTCGTTCCATTTGCGTTTGGTAACTTAAATCGACATTTTTCGGTGGTTTATAGGTCATTGGTGGTGTGCGACGTCGAGATGGTTTCTTTGGATTTTTATCGAGAAATGTCAATGGCACCCAGTCGTCATCATTGTCTTCGATTGGTGGTTTTCTCTCCAATTTTGGAGAGAGATTCGGTGATCCGTATGTTGGATCGAAGACATTAGCGTAGGAGGCGGAATAACCTTGGGATGTTGATGGTAATGAAAAGGGATTAGCGTCATATTTAGTGTCAAATTCTAAGAAACGATTGAATTCCGATTTGCAGTCATTTGAATCGTCATAAGCTGGTGTTACTGGTCGAACTGATGTTAATGGTGAATTGTATCTCGTTCGATCGTGATATTTTCTTCTTGGCTCATTGTTCTCCTCGTTTGATGAACTCATTTCCTTGACACTGTCACTTGAATTGTCGTCGACCTCCTTGAGTAGATTTTGAATTTTGGCGATTTTCTCCAGCAATTTCTCCTCCGTTTCGTTCTCCAATTTTATTGCATTTCGACTGCTTCGATTATCTTTATTGAACATTCTCTGCACACAAAATTTTATTTTATTACTTTTTTTTGTTTCTTTTCCAATTGGAAATTTATTTCTCTGCCTATATTAGCAATCAATTATTTTTATTATTATTTTTAATTATTATTAATACTATTAATTATTAATTGTAAAATTAGAAATTACTAAAGTAATCCCAGTTAGAGGAACTCAAGAAAACATTTAATGAATTATTGTTGACAATTTTTATTTTCGCTTATTTTTACATTCTCTTTTTGAGTACAATGGTCTTTGTTTTCGAAATTTAAATTACTTTTAAAGTAGAAAAAGAAAAGAATAATAATTTTCGATTTGATAAAATTTTTTTATCTTTGAAGGAATATTTTGAAATAATGAACACTCGTCAGTGTAATTTTCTTTTGAAATTTGTCCTAAACACTAAATTCATTTGCAATTAATTTCATTGATAAATTTTATTTATCAATTTTATTTATCAATTTTATTGATTGAAATAAAAATTAGAGAGTTTTCTATATTATGATCTAAATTTTTATTGTAATCTTAATCAATTTCATTGATCAATTAAATTAATTAAAATTAAACGAAAAAATTAAAATAAAAAATTTAATTTTAAGTTTGCTAATTGACTGTAAAATTTTGAAATTGTCATTTAAATAAATACTAAAGTCTTAAATATTGCTAAATAGGAAAATTATTAATTACAATTAATAGTAAACTCGATTTTTTTTAAAAACTTTAAAGAAATTTTTCATAAAATCAATTACTTTCAAAATTTTTAGTAAAAATTATTTAAAAAAAAACTCCATTATTTTCAAGAAGATTGAAATAAATTCTTCAAAACATTTTAATTATTTTAAAGAATTATAATAAAAATCTTGGCAAGAATTAAATTTTTTTCAAGAATTTTAATAAAATTTTTACTACGAATTAAATTATTATCAAAAATTTTAATAAAATTTTTTGGAAGAATTTCGTTTCTTTTCATAAATAAGAATATTTTAATCTGATTTTTTATTAATATTTTAATCTGATTTTTTATTTTAATTCTAAATCCGTTTCATTTAACAATTTTATTGATTAAAATTATAATTAAATATTAATATATTAATTAACGTTTAATTGACAATGACAATTGACTTTTTATTTTTATTTTAATCAATGTTATTGCTTAAAATTAAAATAAAAGTTTTAAATACTAATTAACGGTTTGATTAATTATACTTTATAATTAGAAATAAGTTAACAAATAATTAATAATAAATTAATAATTACAATTAATAAATCATTAATAAATTAATAAATACTAAATTAACAGTATTAAATAATACGAAATATGTCATGAATTAAATTAAATTTGACGCGATTTGAGAATTTTCAATCTTTTTTGAAAATTTTCCTTTTCACTTTCGGATAATTCGAAACCTTCCTCAACAGATGGGAGTTTATTTTTCGTCAATCCCACGTGCATTAGCCAATCTGTTATCATCAATTTTTCTTGACCATTTCGCAGAGTCTGTAAAAAAGGACAATTATTAACGATTTTATTTGAATAATGGGAAAAAATAAAATTAAATGGTTTTAGATTTCAAATATTAATTTGAAATCTAAAACCATTTAATTCAATAATATAACTCAATAAATTAACTTACGTATTTTAATTTAAGTTCAATTTCGGAATTATTTCTTGCTTGTTTCTTCAGTGCTGCAAATTTGAGAGAAGACATTCCTAAAATTTTTTCCATAAACTGAAAAGTAAATTTTTTAGTCACTTTTTTGAATAAAGAACATTTTTACAATTTAAATTTTTATGTAGATTTAATTTTCTTTTAGTTTTGTTTAATTAACTTTTTTAAATTTTGTTAAATTTTCTTTTAATTTCTTTAAATTTGTTTTTAATTTTAATTCCTTGTTTAATTTTTGTTAAAGTTGTTTTTTATTCAAATAAATTTTTTTTTAATTTTTAAAATTTTACTTAATTTGTTTTTAATATTGTTTTATTTGTTTTTATAACATTCTTAAATTAATTTTTTAATCCTAGTTAAATTTTCTTTTAATTTTGTTAAATATTTGTTAAATTGTTAAAGTTAAGATTTAATTTTGTTAATTTTATTCTTTAATTTTGTTTAATTTTCTTTTAATTTCGTTAAATTTATTTTCTTTTAATTTTGTTTAATTTTCCTTTTAATTTTTGAAATATTTTTTTGATAAAATACCTGAGATGCAAAGTCGACTTCCAAAGTTGCAGTGCCATCAGTGATTATGCCATTTAGTTTCCAAACGTCACCCTTGTTCGTTAATTTATCAATTTCTTTAACTTGCGCCTTAACAGTTTTATATATCACCTGATCCGTTAATGTCATAACAATTAAATCGCAAATAACATCGCAATTTTTCGGAAATACTTTTCTGTCCCTTATTTCCAATTTTTCTTCCGTTTCACAAGTTTCCACCGATTTTGAAACTCGAGGCGTTTTATTTTGATGTGAATTTAAAATAGGATCGTCACTCTAAAAATCCATAAAAATAATATTCAATTTTTTTAATCTTTCTAAAAGAGACGAAAAAGGAATAAGTTGCAATATTTTACCGCCAATCGTTTTGTTGCCGTTGGAGAATTTTCCGTATCACTTGACAATTTCTTCAATTCTGTATCGAAATTATAATTCGATAATTTTTCAGCTCCGTCTTTCGGGGATAGAGTCAAGTCGATTTTTGCATGAATTTTCTCAGTGGAAAATAATTCGGAATTGGTACCTTTCGTTATTTTTGATTTTGGAAAAAGAGGTTTAAATGGTTTGGATGTCAGTTTGTCTTCACTATCAGTTGATATTTTAGTTTTGAGTGCTTTGAATCCAAGAGATTTTGGTCTTCTGATGGTATTCGATTTTATTGGCGATAATTGTTGGAAAATTTCTGTTTTCTTAGGAGAAACTTTGAATTTGTCACTTTCAATCGAATTTGTTTGTGTTTTCTTTTTACTCAAATCAGGTAACGTTTCATTGAAGTCCATTTCGTGATATTTATTATTTGAATTATCCAAACTGGTATTTAAATTTTCATTCATTAGTTTTCGAATTTTCAGATCAAAATCCATGTTCATTTCGTTATTAGGTGGAAAATTTGATGCGAAGTGTTGTGAATTGTCACCTTTATTCAAATCGTCGTCATCGTCGTCGTCGATAATTATCACATCATCGTCATTTAGAATCAAATCATCGGAAATTGTTGAACTTTCGGTAAATTTCAGTTCGTTATTTTTTGGATACTCGAAATCTCTTAATGTTTCGGTAAATTTTACTTCGTCATTTTTTGGATACTCGAAATTACTCCATGTTTCGGTAAATTTTACTTCGTTATTTTTTGCAGAATTCTTTTCGAAATTTCTTGATATTTCATTAAATTCACTACTTTGGAAAATTTCCTCAGTCGCTGAGACGTAATTTTTACACTGACAATTATTTGACAAATTCGACGTTTTACTAGTGTTTTGATAAAGTTTCACAGTCGTCGAGTCATCATTTTTACTCTGACGATTATTTGACAAATTTTCAAGATTAAAGGTTTGATTTACTTTCTGAAAATCATTTGGTATTTTTAAATTGTCAGGTGAAATTTGAAACTGTATGGATGACGACGGAAATTCATGAACAATATCCGGATCATTTAGTAACGCTTCCAATTCAATGTCACATTCATTCATTTCGTCGTTGTTAATTGGATTTTTTTCTCTATTTAATCCATAATCGGGCTGATAATTAACGATTGAATTATTTCGAAGTGGATTTAAAATCTTATTTTCACTGTCTTGCGATCGTACCAAATTTACTAAATCGTCTAAATATTCTTCCTCGACTTCCATTTTTTCACATTCTTTCCCTTTTTTCTCGTCATTATAAGGATCTGGATTTTCTCCTAAATTCCTAAAAAAATAATAATAGTAGTGTTAGGATAGAAATAAATAAAGAAAAAGTGTTAAAAAAAGAAAAATTCTAACAGAAATCGAGCCATAATGTTTTCGACGGAATTTTCAATTAATAAATCTTCGACTTCACCACCGAGAATGGCAATGTTTCTTTTCTCGAGTAAAATTATTCCACGTCTACACGTTATTGGTCCAATGAGTTTTACTTTATTTCCTGGCAATAATATATTCTGAGGGAAAATAAAAATTTACAAAGAATAAATTTTTTAATTCGATAATTAATTATATTATTCGATAATTATTAATTCGAGAATTTAGATAATTAAAAAATAGATAAAGAAAGGAAAATTTAATTGAGTTAATTAGCCAATGAAGTTAAACATAAATTTTGATACTAACGTTAAAAAGATCGATAGTCTTATATTCGATGGCTTTAATTTCTTGCAAACCATCGCTAAGAAATAATTCATACATTCTCTTATTCTTTATTTCGGGAATTTCGGATTTGTCTTCCTTGGTTGCTTTCAAATTTTCAACATTGACATCACGAATTTTATTCAATTGTTTGTATTTTGATGTCGAAATGTCGTACATCTTTTCCATCTGACAAATAAATAATACGAGAAAATACCAATAAAATTAATTGATAGTAGTACAAATTTTTATGCACAAATCACAATATAAAAAAATTTACAGTAAACCGTAAAGAAAATTGTTGTTTACGAAAAAAGTAATTTTTACCTGAAGAATATAGCAACCATTTAGTATTGTCGATTTTTTCTCAATGAGATTTTTCGGTAAACATCCATTTTCGTTATTAATTTCACGTAAATCGGCTAAGAGCCATTGTTCAATGGCAAACGATTGTATTCCTTCAATTGATATCTAAAATTTTCAGTTTTATTCATTTAAAAAGTTTGCAAATTTTGCTAATTTAATTTTCTTTGATAAAAAAAGTAAAAGCACATTTGAATACCAAGACAAAATATATAATTTAATCAGGATTGCCACAGAAAATTAATTTTGTTTTTCCCTGATTCTCAGACCAATTTTACTTTCCCTGACTATTCCCTGATGTCCCTGACCTGTGGCAACCTTGTCAATTAAAATAAATACAAAGAAATAGAGAAAGTTGTTAAATTTATAAACATTTTTGCTATTTTTTGTATGGAATTAAAATTACAGTAAAAATTATGACTTACCTTTGGATGAGTTTTAACACAATACTGAACACATTCTTTCAACCAGGATTCATTAAACGTAAAATACTGTGATTTCATATGAATTTTCACTTGGGTAAAGAAATGATTATCCATTTTCGATAAGGTTTTTCTTTTTTTTTAGTTTATAAACAAAGCTAGTACACAAAAATCATCACTCTCTTCGCTTTGTTCACTTAAAGTGAGGTTATGTTTAACAACAAAAGATTCCTTTGCATCACGTAGTTTTTTACATGTTTTTTATTTTCACTAAAAATCACTAGATAATTAGGGTAAGTTTCCGTTTTTTAAAGTTTTTATGGAAAGAATTTGAAAATTTAAATAATAATTACTAATTTTATAGTATAGAAATCGTAAGATATAGAACAAATTATACATTTCTGGATTCATCAATAAATTTCAATTAGAGAAGCAAGATAAATTCATTTCATTCATTTCTTTGTGATTGTTGTCATTTATGAATATAGTATAAAAATCAGAAATTATTGATTTGAAGAAATGAATATTATTAACTTGAAAGAGGTGATAATCTAGTAATAAAAATTAAAATATATAAAATTATACTCACTTTAGCAGAGTGAAAAACTCATTGATCACACAAGCACAAGGATAATTTACAATTTACAAAGTTTTATTGAATATTAAACGTTTTCAACATTCCCGAATTGTAATGTGACACTATCGATTGTCATTTGTCTGGAATTGTTTTGTCGCCATTGTGAAAATTTTGGGGTGTTTTACAAAAACTTGCTTATTCCAACAATGCGCATGTTTAAAAATAAGAGAGTTTATTGGATCATTCACTGGCGCGTTTTCTTAAAGTCAATTAACATTTTTTTACTTATTGAAACAAAATTTGGTTATTTTTAACATTTTTCAATTATTTTATAACTTTCGATTATTTTATACTGTAGTAATTGTTTGTTTTTAATAATTATCTACAAATAGTTTTTTAATTATAAGCGAAATACACTATGATTGTTTAAAATAATTTGAATTCGCGCGGGGAAATGGACTAATGAGCGTGATCGGTGTGATAAGAGCTTTATAAAGGTTAGATTTTGGAAGCGCTATATTTGTTTTTGTTTATGGTTATCTTGCCCTTTAATTTATTATTTTTAAGAAACATAATAATGAAACTATTTTTTAATTCTTTGAACGAATATGAATTTAAACGATTAAAGTTTGAAAATTATATCAAAATTGAAAAAAGAAGCAAAATATTATAAGTAATATAAAAGAAATAATTTAGGACTCTTATGGTTGCTTTTCCTTATTCTTTTCGAAAAAGTACTTGAAATATTTGGAAAAATGGTTGGTTTTGATTATTGGAGCGATAATTTTTATTGCTTCTTTCTACCAGATAATTATATTTTACCGAAAACCTGAAATAAATGCATCTCATCTCCTATTATGTTAATATTTATTAAGTATTATTTATTACCATTATTATTATTAATATTCTTTTATTACTATTATTAGGTATTAATATTATATTATTAGTAATATTATTAATATTATTTTATTACTATTATTATTATAAATAATATTTTATTATTATTATTATTATTCATATTATTTTATTATTATTATTTAAAATAATCCTTTTATTTTCCTAAACATTTCAGAATATTTTGATAATTTATCCAATGATTTTACTATTATTTTCCTTTTTTTTCAGTTTACCTTTAAAAATCCGATTTGATTACCGTATCCATCAAAATTCAATTCAGTAGGTACATTATTCATCAATTTAAAACAAAACAAAAAAAGTAACAAATTTCTTTTGGAAAAGATTTTTTTTTCTTTTTAATTTTGTGTGCGAAATGATTTGAAAATTTATTTTTGTATATTCAAATGTTGTTTTTTTTGTTCACTTCTTTTGCAGTCAAACTGAAGCTGATCAACATTACTATCCAACGGAGCAAACACGTAATTATCAAGCGTCAAGTCCTGATGAAGTTGCCTTAGTAAAATGGACCGAGGAAGTTGGTTTGGCACTTGTGAAACGTGATTTAAATTCAATGCAATTAAAAACGCCGTGTGGAAAAATTCTCAATTATAATATTTTGCAAATATTTCCATTTACATCGGAAACAAAGAGAATGGGAATTATTGTGAGGGAGGAAACAACTGGTGAGATAACATTTTATTTGAAGGGAGCTGATATTGTCATGTCGGGAATTGTTCAATATAATGATTGGCTTGAGGAGGAATGTGGAAATATGGCGAGAGAAGGTTTACGAACATTGGTTGTTGCTAAAAAACATTTAACTGAGGAGCAGTATTTGGATTTTGAAGCTAGGTACAATTTTTTATTTTTTGTATTTTTGGAAATTTTCATTATTTGGTATTATTTTCTTTTTGTAATTTTACGCCAACATAATTTATAATTTTTTAGATTCTTTAGATTCTTTTGATCCTTTATTAATAATAAAACGTAATTTTCAGATATAATGCGGCAAGATTGTGTGTTAGTAATCGAGTTTCGAGAGTAGCAGCTGTTGTTGAAAGTCTTGAAAGAGAAATGGAACTCTTGTGTCTTACTGGAGTTGAAGACAAATTACAAGACAGGGTCAGATCGACTTTAGAATTATTGAGAAATGCGGGAATAAAGGTTAGAATAATGTTTTTCTATTTCTCAAATTTTTAATTTATTTTTTATTTTGTTTCGTAATTTTTTTTTACTTATTTCGCATTAGTTATTTTTGAATCAATGATCCTAAAGTTCTGAACGTTCAAATGATCGAAATTTTATTTATTTCTTCTACAAATCCAAATTTTATTCCAATAATTTTACTTCTCTAAAAAAAAATTTAATTTTTAAAGTCTCTAAATGTAAAATTTAAGTTTTTCATATTTATTGCAATTAGTTTATGGAAATATTTATAATGAATAATATTTCACTCACTTGAACGTTAAAAACTGGTGGATTATGAGAGTCAATCCAAATTATTAATTATTAACTAATATAATTTATTCTTCAAAAATACGATTATATTATATTTTTGACAAAATTCAAAGCCAAATATCATTACGAGGACCACGCTAAATTTCCAAAAAATGCATTAATGAATTATTTATTTAAAAATGCAGAATAGGACGAAAATAGTTTAAATTTTCAGAAATGTCCACAATTTTTTTTATTTTTTTCAAAAAACTGTTAAGTTTGCTGGTTTTTTTATTAATCGTATGTATAAATGAATTAATTTTCAGATATGGATGTTGACGGGGGACAAAATGGAAACGGCGACTTGTATAGCAAAATCCTCGCGTCTTGTTTCTCGAACCCAGGGCCTGCATATTTTCAAATCCGTGGTGACACGAACCGATGCGCATTTAGAATTAAATACTTTTCGCAAAAAACAGGATTGCGCTCTTATAATCAGTGGCGAATCATTGGAAGTTTGTCTACAGTATTATGAGCACGAATTTTTGGAATTGGCATGCAGTTCACCGGCCGTTGTTTGCTGTCGTTGTTCGCCAACTCAGAAGGCAGATGTTGTCAGTCTAATTCAAAGGCACACGGGAAAGAGAACGGCGGCAATTGGCGATGGAGGGAATGATGTGTCTATGATCCAAGCCGCCGATGCTGGTGGGTGTTTTCTTAAAATACTTCAACAAAGTAACCAAAGACAAGCAATAATCGGTTTTGTTTACGATTCTTTTTTAATTTTGCTAAAAAAATAATTTTGACTAAATATTTTTTAGTACATTTTGAGTTGAATCTTAAATAATTATTTATTATAAATTACTTATTATTTATTAATTATTTATAACTATTTGTCGAAATAATATAAATTAAGAATTTAGCGGAGTTAGTAGTTCAATTTTCTAAAAAAGAAAATTAATTTCTGTAAAGGCATCGGATTGGAAGGACTTGAGGGAAGACAGGCATCACTCGCCGCTGATTTTTCGATTCCACAATTTTGTAATTTAGCAAATCTTTTATTGGTTCATGGAAGACGCAGTTATAAGAGATCCGCTGCACTTAGTCAATTTGTTATTCATCGAGGACTTATTATTTCAACAATGCAAGCAATTTTCTCCGCTGTCTTTTATTTTGCGTCGATTTCTCTTTATCAGGGATTTTTAATGGTTGGGTATGTATTTCAAAGAAATTTTCCCACTGTAAAGTAGGATAAACATTTTATTCAGATAAAATTTTCCATTTGATAGGAATTTTTGAGAAAAATTACTTTTCTTTTGCTTCTAGATATGGAACTTTGTATACAATGTTTCCTGTTTTCTCACTGGTACTCGATAAAGATGTCTCGGGAAAAATAGCGCTTACGTATCCCGAACTTTATAAGGAATTAAGCAAAGGTCGTTCTCTGTCTTATAAAACGTTCTTTATGTGGGTTTTAATAAGTATATATCAAGGTGAGTCAATCAATTTTTCATCAAGTCAATCAATTACAGCAATTATTATTTTTTTTTAGAGAGATTGTAAAATAAAGAAAACGATTCAATTGAATTGTTTATTTCGCAATTATTATTTTATATTTTTGGAGATATTATAAAATAAAGAAAACGATTTAATTGAATTGAAAAATGTAATTTCTTGATTTATTCGACTTTGTTTCATTTTAAAATGGTTTTTTTTTAATTTTCAGGCGGTGTGATAATGTACGGAGCGCTAATAATGTTCGAGGATGAATTTATTCACATTGTGGCTATTAGTTTCACTTCCTTGGTCCTCACAGAATTGATAATGGTGGCACTAACAATAAGAACGTGGCATCATCTCATGATTATTGCCGAAGTATTCTCTCTCACCTTGTATCTTCTATCGTTGGTTGTTCTCAAAGATTATTTCGGTAAGTACTCCAATTATTTTCTTTGCTTTCCTTCTTTCCTAACATTTTTAAAATAATTTTTCATTTCAAATGTTTGGAATTTCTAAAATTAATATTATTGAGAATAAATAAATTGTTATAAAGAATTTTATCAAAATTTTTCAAAATAATTTATTTCTTTCGAAGAATTTTAATTAAAATTGTATTAAAAATAACTGAAATCTTGCAAAGAATTTTATTGAAATTTTTTTAAAATAATTGATGAATTTCTTTAAATTTTTCTAAAATGATAGAGTTTTTTTTTGGTAATTTTAATTGAAAATTTTGAAAGTCGGTAATTGAATTTTACGAAGAGTATTTTTCAAATTTTTAAAATAATAATTGTTAATTTTTCGAAAGAATTTATTTATTTCCATAAATAATAAAATCCTTCGAAGGAATTCAATTATTTTCATAAATAATAAAATACTCCAAAGGAATTCAATTATTTTCAATACTTTGATTTTAAAATTGAAAAGATTACAAAAGAAAAATTACTAGAAAAATTAGGAAACAATTTTATTAAAATTTTACAAATAGTTAAAATCTTTCGAAGAATGCTATTAAAGTTTTTAACAATAATTGAATTCCTTCGAAACATTTCTTTAATGTTTTGTTAATAACTGTAATTAATAATTTTATTATTAAATTTTCTTAAAATCATTGATAAAAAATTAAATTCTTTTCAAGCATTTTATTACAGTTTATGAAAATAATTGAATTCTTTCGAAGAGTTTCTCTAAATTTTTTGAAAATAATGTACTTTTTGAATAATTTTAATTGAAAATTTTGAAAGTACCTAATTGAATCTTACGAATTTCTTTTGAGAAATTTCATAACAATTGTAAAAAAAAGTAATTGAATTCGTACGAAGAAATTTATTATTTTTGAAAATACTTAAATTCTTTCAATGAATTTTATTCAAATTATTATATTGAAAATAATTGAGACTTATTTATATAAATTTTGTATCAAAACTGTTGAAAATAATTAAATTTTTTCGAGAAATTTTATTAAAAATATTCTAATTTTTATAAATAATTGAATCTTTGAGAAATTTTATTAAAATTATATTGAAAATAATTAAATTCCTGAGAAGAATTTTATTAGTTTTACAAAGAATGGAATTCTTATGAAGAATTTTATTAAAAGTATAGAAAATAATAAATAATTAGTTAAAAAGAATTTTTTTAAATTTCGCATCCCACATTATTTAAATGTTGATGTCGATATTTGAAAATTAAAAAATTTTGTATTTTATATTTTGTATTGTGTCTCATTTAATAATTTTATGTTTGTTAAAAATTGTAATAATTAAATCAAAATTTCCTTTCTTGCAGTATTTTTAGCTTTCTAAAATAATTAGTTTTCTAATTTAAAAGAGAATGATTAAAAAAATGTTAATTATTCTTTTCTTTTGTCTTATTTCAACAGATGCTGAATTCATAAGAACAGAAGATTTCCTCTGGAAAGTATTGGTGATAACTTTAATTTCGTGTCTACCGTTGTACATACTCAAATTTTTAAGGAAAAAATTCTCTCCGCCAAGTTACACAAAATTATCGTAAATCAATTTAAAAGGTGGAGATACTTCCAAAACTTGTAATTAACAAAAAAAACAAAAGTGATATGAATAATTATTTTTCTATTGCCACAAGTGACAAATTTAAGAAAAAATATTTTTAATTCGTTTTGTTTTCATTTTTTTCGTTTTAATAATTTTCTTAAATAAATTTTTTTTTATTAGGATTATTAAATATATTTATATCGAGAGAATAAATCTCGATTATGTTAATACGCTAATAGTTTCTTTAATGTAAAACACACACACACACAACGAGCTTTTAAAAGCTGGCATTTTTAATTCTGCGTAAAATTAATTTTTAACATTTTTATTTTTCAATTTTATGCTTTAGCATTTTGTACAGATTTTTAAATTTTTCGTATCGCATATATATATTATATAATCTATAGGATTTAATTTATATGAAATATATTTATAAAAAAACTGTATGTTATTTACATAGATAAATAATAACGATAAATTATTTCTTAGTAATAATAGAATGTTTTAAATGAAAACAAAAATCGAAAGCAAAATGAATGAATTTTTTATATAAAGAAATATTCCACTGGAATAGTTTTTTTTATAAGTAGTTTTTTTTTTTGAAATAATTTATAGGTAGGAATTTGAAAAACAGGTAAAATTTGTAAATTAATATTTTTGGGAAATTTTTCAGATTTTATCTAATGGTGATTCGGAGTCGATCTCGCAAAGTATTTTCAATTTGACGATGAATTTTATTCACCTCGTCTTGACTGAGGACACGTTCTAAATGTCTGTAGATGATTCTATAGCAATGTGATGTTTTCTTTGTCTTTGAATGAATAAATTCATCGATCAATGAGATTTGCTCAATGGTGTCGCCTCCGATTTCTCGAACAATGTCGTAAAAATCTTGCGATGAATAAGTCCCATCCTCAGGTAACCAAAAACTTATATCATTATAGCATTGCGGGTGAACGCTAACGGGCTGAAAAAAATTCCTCAATCAAATTTATTATTATAAGGTCTCGGATTAGTTCGACTTTTTTCGAAACTTTTTTTTAGAAAATTATCAAAAGTAATTGATTCAGAGAAGAAGTTTAGTTAAAAGTTGTTGTAAATCCGAGGCCTGTGATTTCAAACTTTACGATTTCAAAATATTTTATTTATCTAAATTTATTTTTTACCTTATATTGCACAGGAGAATTTTCATTGTCGACTTCGAATTGATGCAAAAATCCCGAGTCGGTACTCCAAAAAATGCGAATATCCGGAATATTGTACAAACGCATTGCCAATCTCTCGAGTCCCAAACCAAAAGCCCAGCCAATTCGTTCGGATGCACCGGCTTTTTGTAGAATTTCTTGTCTCACAATTCCACATCCCAATAATTCCATCCACTGATCATTGTGAAATATTTCCAATTCCCAAGACGGATGTGTGAATGGAAAATATTCGTTGACCCAACGATATTGGATATCTGTAAGTGAGAAATTTTTTTATTTTATTAAATCAAAGAGGAGTGAAAATTATCGAAAATTAATTTTGCCAAATCGTAAATTAAAATTTAAATTCGACCTCGTATTATAAAGGTAAAACAGGGTTGCCACAGGTCAGGGAATTCAGGGAAAAGTCAGGGAAAGTAGAATTCGTCAGGGAAATCAGGGAAAAGTCAGCAATTTTTATTAAAAGTACTGTACTAAATTAAATTTTTAAAATTCATAAGAAAATTCTAATTTTTTAGTGTTTTTTTTTTGTTTGCCTCATAAATTATAAAACTACTACGAATTCTAATTAAAAAATCTTTCTTTTCTGACCAGAATGAATTTTTAAATATTATTTAATTATTTCAAAAGTTTTAACGCAATTGTCTTGATAAATAATAAAATTCTTCACTAAAATTCAATTATTTTTAGGAATTTTAATAAAATTCTTTGCAAAATTCAATTATTTTCATAAATAACAATATTCATCGCAAAAATTCAATTATTTTCAAAATTAATACAAATCTTCGAAGAAATTCAATTATTTTTTAAAATTGTAACAAATATCTCGTCAAGAATTCAATTATCTTTATAAATAACAAAATTTTTCGCCAAAAATTAAATTATTTTCAAAAATTTAAATAAAATTCTTTACAAAATTTCAATTATTTTCAAGTTTTTCGTAATTCAATGATTTTTAATAATTACTATTTTCATAAAATTTATCAACAGATTTAATTATAGAAAAAACTTTTTGATACAATTCTACGAAAAGATTCAATTATTTTCATAAATAATAAAATTTCATTTACGAATTCAATTATATTTTCATCGCAGAATTTCAAATATTTTTAAAACAATTTTAAATAAATTCCTTGAAAAATGCAATTATTCTTAAAAATTTTATTAAAACTCGACGATAGAATTGAATTTTAAGAAATATTTAATAATTCAATAAAATAATAAAATTCGTTGGAATTTTTTGAGTAATTCTGCAAAAAAATTCAAATATCTTGATAAACAACAAAATTCTCTTCATAAAATCAATTATTTTAAGGAATTTTAATGAAATTCTTTTCCAAAATTAAATTATTTTGATAAATATGAAAATTCATGACAAGAATTCAATTTTTTGAAAAGTAATAAATTTAAACAAAATTTAATAAAACTCTTCGCATGAATTCAAATATTTTTATAAATAAAATTCATCAGAGAAATTAAATTATTTTCGACGTTAATTTAATAATTTTTTTTTGAAAAAAAAAAGTTCTAAAAAACTTTTTATCAAAATTGTTTATTAGAATTTAATTATTTTTAATTAAATTTCTTTAAAGAACTCAATTATTTTTCAAAATTATTAATAAAACTTTTCGTTAGAATTCAATTATTTTCATAAATAATAAAATTTTCGCAGGAATTCGAATATTTAAAAATGTTTTTTATTAAATGTTTCAAAGAAATTCAATTATTTTCAAAAATTTTGCTATAATTCGTTATTAAAAATCAATTATTTACAAAAGAGTTTTAATTAAATCAATTAAAAATTTCTTCAAAATTTCTTAAAAGAAATTAATTATTTTCAAAAGTAGTTAATATAATTCTCTGTAAAAATTAAATTTTAATAAACATTCAATTATTGAAAGAATTATTTATTTTTGTAAAAAAATTTTGATATAATTCTTTATTAAAAATCAATTATTTACAAAAGAGTTTTAACTAAATCCATGGGAACAATTAAAAATTTCTTTAAAATTCCTTAAAAGAAATTAATTATTTTCAAAAATTGTTAATAAAATTCTTTGTAAAAATTAATTTTTAAGAAACAATCAATTATTGAATAAATTATTTATTTTTGTATTTAAATAATTGAATTCTCGTAGAATTTTCTAATAAAAATTGATTTAAAAATGAATTTCGGTTAAAATTTCACATAATAATTTAAAATTTAATTAAATTTTAAATTAAATTAATTAAATAATTTAAAATTTAAAATTTAATTTTTAATTTATTTACATGAAGAAATCTTCTTTATTTAAAAAAGAAGTTATTGACGTTTTCGAATAATTTTATTTTTGAAGAAATTTGTAAAGAAATGTAATAGAACATTTTTTTGAGTATCTAATCAGGGAAAAACAAAATTTAATTTTTCTGGCAACCCTGTAAATACGATTGTATTTTAAAGTTAAAAAAAATAATACCTTTTCCAAAGAGATTTTGTGCAAGACCAACGAGACAATTTTTCAAATCAAATTCCATTATTTTCACTGCATCTAAACTGTGACAGCCTTGTTTATCAGAATTTTCATTGCCCCTGTGTTCAAATAGTTGCAAATCACGGGAATTTTTCACATTTGAAAAAACTTCATCGGCCGTACAAATACGAACGCCATCAACCTGATGAAACACTGGATAATGCTTGGAATCAATTTCATCCCTTCGATAAACATCGCCAATAATGAGAAAATTATTAAGACCCATTGAAATCAATTCCGATTGATGTGCAGTTGTGTGCGCTCGCAATAATAATTTCTGATTGATGTAATAGCAATCAGATTTATTTCGACTCACATGATCATTGGGCACTAATAGTGAATCGAAATTTTGCTGTGTTGTGACAATTGGACTTATATTGTCATAAATACTGAAGAGAGGATTTCCAACGTTATTCAAGTAAGTTTTGTAAAAATAATTTACTATTCGTCGTTTCACATAATAGAGGGGATGTTTTTCTTGTTGATGTAAATTACGACTGATTTTTGAAATTATTTTTGGTGTCACATTTGTCCAATTGTCGGTCTCGTATTTTTGATGATTGATTTCAATTTCGTTTTGGGTACTTTCAGCGCTCGGTGCTGTTGACAATTTTTTGCTTAACGAACATAATTGACAACAAAAATTCCTGAAAATTTATTATTTAATATTTAAACTCGTATTTGATTTATTATTATTATTATTTTTGAAATTTCAAAAACATTTTATTTTTAAAATGATCCTAAAGTTCTGAACGTTCAAATAAACGAAATTTATGCATTTTTTCTTCAAATTAAATTTTTATTATAATAATTTTACGTCACTATAAAAAAAAAATTAATTACAAAGTTCCTACACTCAAAATTTGATTTTTAATTTTAGTTCGAATCAGTAATTTTTGAAAATGTGATTAATAAAAAATATTTCGTTCATTTGAATGTTCAAAACTTGTGGATCATATTTTCAAATATCAATTTTTGAATGATTTTGGTTCAAAGTTTTATAAAAATTCACTTATTTAATAATTAATAATTATTATTTAATATTCACTAAAATATTACTAAATGCAATTCTTTGAAACAAATTCAATTATTTTCCAAAATTTCTAGTAAAATTCTTCGCAAGAATTCAAATATTTTCATAAATTTTTAGTACATTTTCTTATTAGAATTCAAATGTTTTCATAAGTAATAAAATTCGTTGACAAAATTTTATTATTTCCAAAAATTTGGATACAATTATTTAAATAAGAATTCAATTATTTTTGAAAAATTTAATAAAATTCTTGTCAGGAATTCAATTTTTTTATAAATACAATTCAATTATTTTCGATGGCAATTCAATAATTTTTCTTAAAAAAATTAAATTATTTTTAAGACATTTAATAAAATTCGTCGAAACAATTCAATTATTTTTAAAAATTTTGATATAAATCTTTATAAGAAAACATTTATATTAAAAGCAATTTTAACTAAATTCGTGGAAAGAATTAAAAATTTTCTTTGAAATAATTAAATTTATTATTTTTAAATTTTTAGATATTTTTTCATTTAAATTTAATTATTTTCAATACATTTTTAATTAAATCTCTTGAAAGAACTCAATTATTTTTAAAAGCTTAAATGAAAGTCTTCGAAAGAATTCAATTATTTGAAAATTTTTTAAAAATATTTGAAGCAAGAATTAAATTATTTTCATGTATAATTCTTCGTGGCAATTGAAATATTTTTAAAAATTCTAATAAAATTCTACTGTAGAATTTAATTATTTTAATAAATAATCAAATTCTTCGAAGAAATTCAATTATTTTAAAAAATTATAAAATTCTTTAAAGTAATTAAATTATTTATAATTATTTTGGTAAAATTTGTTTATTAGAATTTAATTACTGATTTTGAATGAATTGGAGTTGTAATTTTTTTCAATTTTTATTGAAATAAATTTTTTATTGTAAAGAATTTTAGTTTTCTATGTTTAAAAATTATTTTGAAGAATTCTTGCTGAAAATTCAGAAAATAATTGAATTAGTCGTTAAATTTTATTTTTCGATAGCTACTTTCTTCCTACTTCATTTTAGTCTTTAAACTAATTTTTTGCAACATTCTTTAAATTAATCTTAATTTATTTTTGTAATTAATTAACGAGTGCAAATCCTTTTTTACTGCGGCAATTATTTGTGAATGAAAAAATAGTACCTTTGCCTTGTCGTTCTCCAAAGCGAGGAAATATTCAAAATGTTTCGCATATTTCTTGAAAAATTCCCAATTTAATGAGACAAGTACGTACAGGAAAAATCAATTTTTATTAGAAACTTATTTCGGATTTTAAATCATTCATTGTTTGTCTATAATTATAATATTTATTTAAATGTTTTTCAAAACATAACCTCAATAAGTAGAAAAATCAAGTGTAAATCAACATATAAACTTAATTTTTATAATTATCACTGCACTAAATAAAGTGACATGACAAATTTCAACTTCTCAGTAAGTTCAGTAACTTTATACAAATATTTATATTGTACAAAAAGGATAATTTGATCAGTGAATATTTTTTTGACGTTTAAGACGTATTTTTTCACATGTGTTCTGCTATGCTCAATAGCAGACGACAAAATTCTTGCCATCTGCTGTAGAATATTAAAAGTTATTTAAATATTTAAATTCTATTACAATTGCTGAAAAAAAAATTAACAAAAAAATTGAGAAAAAAATGATCAAAAATCTGTTTTTTAATTTTATTTTTCACTTTCAATTACAATTTTCTTTTGTTATTTTATCAGAACAGTAAAATTAGAATTTTTTAAATTAAATTTAAATTTGCTTTTGTTAATTTATTGCATTTCTTGTAAATTTGCAATTAAAAAAATTAAAGACTTATTTATCATTATTGTGAAAGTGGTAAATTTCACAAAGAATAAAATTCTATGAAACAATTCAATTATTTTCAGAAATTTTAATACAATTCTTTTTTTAAAAAAATGCAATTATTGTCAAAAATTTAAATAAAATCCATTACAAGAATTCAATTATTTTCATAAATTTAGAAAAATCCTTCAAAAGAATTCAATTATAATAAAAATTTTTGATTTAATTCTATATATGAATTCAATTATTTTCAATTAAATTTTAACTTAATTTAAACAGAGAATTTTGATTTTCAACTAAGTTTATTGAAAGAATTTTGATTTTCTTCAAAAGAATTAAATTATTTTTAAAAATTTAAATAAAATTTGTCCCAAGAATTGAATATTAATTTTTATAAGTTATAGAATTCTTTGAAGAAATTCAATTGTTTTTCTTAAAAATCCATTAAATTTTTGAATAATTTTATTGAAAAATTATGAAAAATAATTCATTTTGAAAGAATTGGAGTTGTAATTATTTCCATATTCATTGAAATTATTTTAATAATTTTCAATGATCTTCTTGAAAAAATTTAAATTATTTTCTAGAATTTTAATATAATTCGTCACAAGAGTTGAAATATTTTCATAAGTTGGAAAATTCTGCGGATGATTTCAATTATTTTTTATACAATTTTATTTTAATTTTTTGAAAGAATTCAGTTATTTATTTTAAATTTCAATAAAATTTCTTAAAAAAATTGAATTATTTTTTTTTGTTGTTTTATAGAAAAATAAAATTAGAATTTTTGAAATTAAATTTAAATTTGCTTTTTTAAATATACTATATTTTCCTTGTAAATTTACAAATTAAAAACTTAAAAACTTATTTATCATTATTTTGAAAGTGGTAAATTTACAAACAATTTTTTATTCTGAAAACGTAATTTTATCCGATTTTGATAAATTTACAAATCAATTCTCTAAGTCTTGGTAAATTTTTCTTCTACAATTACAATTTAATTTTTATTTAATTATAATGGAGTTAAATTAAATTAATAATTAAATAAATAAATATAATTAAAAAATAATTTAACAAAAGAAGTGGATTTTTTTACAATGATAGAAAAATATATTTAACCGTCTGGCAATACAACTGCGATTATTGTTCGCTTAAACATTTTTCGTTTAATACTATAAATTGGACAAGTAAAACAAAGTTTATACAATATAAACATTTTTCAAACAAACTTTTTAAACTTTTCTTTGGAAACATTAGATGCAAAGAATTTTTGGCGGAGCATTTTTAAACAAAATTAAGAATTATCTTTTAATATTTCGTATTCTTAATATTCTTTTTCTAAGTATTCTTAAGTATCACATTTTTTTCTTAAATTTAAATCTTTCATTAAATTTCTTAATGACTACTTGAGATCCATTTAGAACTTGATTTTTACTTACGAACACAAACTTTACGTAAAAAAAGTTTTCCTGTCGACGGAATAAAAAGAAATCAATTGTTGCTTGGTTTAAAACAATTTCTCGTGACGTAAATAAAATCTAACAGCAAGTCTTTATGAATTCTTCTAAATGCCTCTGTATTGCCAACTTTATCGAAATTCCTATCCATAAATGCAATGCATTCGTTTTTCAAATTATCGGAATTATGTCGATCGGCGTGTTCCAAAACTGCAATCACATTATCAATTGATAAACATCTTTCGAAAAATTCTTCGCAAATTATTCGCAAATTTCCAATATCGTACTTGTCGGCCAATTCGTAGAGACCAAAGACAACGTTCTTTAGATTTTCAATTTGACCGATATAAATATATCGTAACATTTCCTTGAAGGCATTCGAATCGATATTCTCAATTTGAACGATATTCGTTAGATTTTCCTTCATTTGATGCGAGAACATTCCCTCGAAAACTGGACTCACCGAGGCGAGCATTAATTTATGCGCTGGAATTTCTTCATTTCCAATTAGAAATATAACGTCGCTGAGGGAATTATTGTTGAAAAATGGATGAAAATTGTTGACAACCGTTGACATTTTCTCCACGTCTCTTAATGGTTTTATTTTTAAATTCACGTGTAAGCAACGTGCGGACGTAATGAACTGAGTTAATTCGTCCTCGTCGATAAGAATTTCGTAGTGAGATAATAAATTTGTAACCTTGCTGAATACCTTCCTTCGCGGTATTATTCCAAATACAAATTTGATTTTCATTAAATTCTCAAAATTATGCTTATAACTCGAGTCATTGTAGAGAAGGAATCGAATGTATTTTCTTTCGGCATTTTTCAATGAATGAAAAGATTCGTAATTGGTTTTAAAGAATTGAATATACCATTTTCTGTTTGGTACACCTGCGATTTCGAATGATCCTGACGTATGATCAGAGCCATGCATATCATCGTAATTGCAATTTTTAATAATCCAATTAATGTCCGTGACTCCAAGTGTCTTTTGGATTTCTTTTTCGTCTCTCTCCGTCTTCTGAAAATTAAAGTTTAACATTTATTCATTGCTAGCAAATGTTGCGCGAAACACGGGATTTAATTCTTATTATTTTTAGTCAAATTTTGAATTTTATTTTCAATTATCAACTTCAATTCTTAAATTATTTATTCAGATTCGAAATTACAAGAAAATCATTATTTATTATCTAAAATATTGATAAATTAATATTATTTTTATATTTAATAAAATTCTTTGATATAAATCAATTATTTTCAAATAATTAAAACAATTTTCAATTATTTGGAAAAATTAAAAAAAAAATTTGTTTCAAAAATTAAATTATTTTTATGATATATAATTCTTTGTAGAAATTCAATTATTTTCAAAAATTTTAATAAAATTCTATTAAAAATTTCAATTATTTTCAATAAAATTTCTTGAATGAATTTTCGTTTTTCTTAAAAATTGTAATAAAATTCTTCGAGACACTTTGATTATTTTTGAAAATTTGCCACAAGAATTTAATTATTTTCATAAGTTATAAAATTCTTTGGCGAAATTCAATTTTGATAATATTCTCTTAAAAAGTTTAAAATTAACAAAAATTGTCAATGTATGTATAAAACGGGTAAAATAACAGAATCACGCGATCATTATTTTAACACATTTCGTTGAACTATATTTTACCTGCTTCAATCTTACTATTTTCTTCACTTTCCCCGACATTTTTGCTTAATATTCAAATTAATTTTTCATAAAAAAATTGCGATAAAATTGACAATAATTATGACAATTTGACAGTTGTTGTTACTTGTTGTAACTCGCCAGTCTACATAACCTTAAAATATATGAGAAATAAGTTCATGTAATCACTGGTAGATGTCAGTTTGGCGCGCAATTTAAAAGTACAGAATAGTTATTCTTATTTATATAGAAAAATAATATTAATAAAAATAGTTTTCTAAAGAGATAAAATAAAATAGAGAACGAAAAAAACGAAAAGAAATATGAAATAAGTAGTTTAATATTTTGCGTAGCGAATATAATTTAAAAAAATAATATTAGCAGGATTAGCAGAGTTTTTTTTTGTTACGTTACTGTACATGGTTGTTTTTGGGTTGGTAACATTGCTTGTTGCATAGTTCACGTTCATTGTAGAAAAATGGAGGAAAGTGTTGATTAAATTGTCAAATATTTATCTTTTAATATCATATTAATCTTTACAACAATTCATAAATATGTTTAATGGGTAAGTTTAATTTTAATTGGAGATTTATTGTTGTGTGTTAGTTTTACTACAAAATGAAGGAAAGATGCATATTTTTGAAAATTTGTTTTAGCAAAACATAACCTCAAATTTTTACGCGTGGAATTTAAAAAGTTGTCAATTGTTCGAATCGTCGTGTTCATTGCGTCGATAATTAGTTTTAAGTAATTTGTTTACTAATTACCCTAATTACTTTAATTAAAACGATTAATTATATATAAAAGATTATATTTCAACAAATCGTACGAATTGAAATTAAAAATTAGTATTAGCAGGTCTTCGGAAAGTCTTTTTTAACTAATAATTTTTTATTTTTGTTCTTATTTACAGATTTTGAAAATAATTACGAAAAAATGGTAAAATTGGAGCGCTTGGACAGGAAGGAAATCTATCGGTAAGTTACGAACCCTTTTCTATAATATATACTCTAATAATCAATTATTTTTAAACAAAATTTTAAAAAAATTTCACGAACAAATACAATTATTTTCTAAAATTTTATAAATTCTTCGCAAAAATTCAATTATTTTGAAAATAATTTTAAAAAAATTTCCAAAGAGAATTCAATTTTATTTTTAATTTTTAATAATATTTTTCGAAAGAATTTAACTTTTTTTAAAAATTTTAATAAATCCTTCGAAACAATTCAATTATATTTATAAAAAGTGAAATTTTTTACAAAAATTAAATTATTTTCCATAAAGTTTCACGAAAGAATTAAATTATTTTTAAAAATTTTAATAAATTCTTTGCGAACATTCAAGTATTTTTAATACAATTTTAATTAAATTTCCTGAAAGAATTCAATTTTTTTTTAACTTTTAATATTTTTCGAAAAAATTCAATTATTATCTAAAATTTTTAAAATTCCTTCAAAACAATTCCATAAACAATATAAATAGTAAAATTTTTTCCATTAAATTTCACGAAAGAATTCAAGTTTTTTCTTAATTCGTTATAAAATTTTGCAAATGAATTCAATTAGGTATTTTCTAAAATTTTAATAAAATTTAATAATTAACTGTTTAGTTTCAATTATCAACAAACACGATTATTTTAAAAACTTAAAAGAAATTGTTCATAAATTTCAATTATTTTAAAAAATTTTAATTAAAATTTTTATAAATTTTAACAAAATTCTTCTTGAGAATTTAATTGTTTTCCTAACTAATAAAATTCTTTGAAGGAATTCAATTATTATTAAATTTTTTGATAAAATTCTTTGCAACAATTCGATGATTTTCAATACATTAATTAATTTAGAAAAAAAGGCAATTATAAAATAGGAAATTATATTTTAAATACAAAAATACAATTCTTAATTCGGTGTTTACAAAATTAAATTTTTTCGTCGACAATAGTTTTAACCGATTCGACTGTTTGTAACGTTTAAAAAAAATAAAAAATTCTCCGAAAAATTATAAGTTAAATTTGACAAACTTTTTAAAAATTTTACATTTTTGGACAGAATTTATTTTTATTTGTTACATTTAAAATATAACAATTTAAACTTTATCTATAGAATTTCTTTGTCTGGAGAAATTTTCTTTTTAGAATCTATTTGAAATATTTCAAATACTTCAACATTGTTCACGCTTAAAAATTATATTTTTAACATTTTCTTAATAATAAATTATCACAAATTTGATAAAATAATTAACAATATTTTCATTAACAATTGAACGAAAATTCTAGAATAAAACACAAAACTGAGTATTAAAAATTAAAGACATAATTCGGTAGTAGAAATTAAAATTAGTCTTTTTTCTACTTTCATTGAAAAAAAAAGTATCTCTTGATTGTCAAATGCGTAAAATTACGATTTCGATGCTCATAAATTTTGAGAATTCATGGCGAAGAGTAATTCCAACAATAATTCTTGTTTTACGTTTTTAAAAGCGTCCATTGTTCCAATTTCATTAAAATTCTTTTGAATGAAATTAATGCTTTTTTTCTTCAAATTCACCGAATTGTGACTATCGGCAAGTTGTAGAACTGCAATTGCATTCTTTACTGTTAAATAATTTTCCAAATATTGTTCACAAATGATTCGCAATTTTTTGACATCGTACTTGTCGGCCAATTCGTGAAGACGAAAGGCAACTTGCTTTGAATTCTCGATTTTTCCGGTGTAAATAAAACGTAGCATTTCCTTAAAAACTTCGGGATCAATTTCCTCAATTACGACAATATTTGTAATATTTTCCTTCATTTGATGAGCGAACATTTTCTCGAAAACAGGACTCATTGACGCAAGGACAATTTTGTGAGCTGGAAAATTTGTATTTTCGACATTAAATGTCACATCACTCAGTGTGTCATTGAGAAAGAATGATTGGAAATTATTTTCGATTGTTGATTTTTTCGCAGTGCTCAATTGTTTAATTTGTAGATTTAAATGTAGACAATCGTTGTTTGTGAGGATTTTTCTTATTTCATTTTCGTCGATAAAATATTTAAATCTTGAAATTGCGCATCTATTTTTGAAGTAGAGTTTTTTCTTGCGAACTATTCCCAGTGCTAGTTTTATTTTGAAAATTTTCTCTGAAAAATGTGATTCCGACTGGACGTTGAATATTTGAAAGTGGACATAATCGCCTGCTTTTATTCGCGATGAACAATAAGAACTGTCTATTTTGTCGATTTGAATGGTACACTTCAAACTTGGAGTGCCCTCCACTGGGAATACATTTGAAGTAATTACTCCATCAGAAGAAATAACATTGTCGTAATTTTTTACAATCCAACTGAAATTTGTAACTCCAAGCGATTCGTGAAGTGATTCTTCTCCTGATTTTTCGCTTTCCGTTGTTGTTACGCTTGTATCCATTTCTTTTTTTTTTTAAAACGAATAATTCCCTGCAATTTGAAATTACATTTAATTAGTGTTGCTTTAAAAAAATTTGCTTTTTGAAATTTAATGGAAATTCTTCAGGTTTTTAAAAATTTCATTATTTTAACTATTTTTCTTTAAATTTAATTATTTGAATAACTCGTATAGAAATCGCCAAGATATTTCTAACAGAAACTTGAATGTAAAATATTTATTAATATTAAATTTATTTCAATGAAATTTGACAAAATTTTCAATTATTTCAATTATTTAAAAATTTTTTTTTGAAATAGAATTATTTTTAAAAAAAAATTAATTAAATTTTGCAAGAAACAAATTTTTTCGGAATTTCTAAATTAAATTATTCAAAACTTCAATACTTTTTGTTAAACAAAAAGTTAAAAACTTCTTATTTATTTTTCGACAGTAATTAAAATTTCATTCTAATTTTTATGAAGAACCTTTTGAAACTTAATTATTTATAAAAATTGCAATTATTTTTTTTAGGATCTTTGAATTACAAAACTTTAAGAAGACAGATTATGTCAATTATTATATTACTTGGTAATTAATAATATAATTTGATAAATTGACAGAAAATAAATATGAAATTTTGCTAGTACATTTTTTCAATTTATTAATGTGTAATTGTATTTTATTAAAACTTACTTATTTTTCGAAATTCCGAATGGTATGGATTTTGTTGATAATTCACGTGGCTTGATAACTTCTCGATCTTGAGAATTAAAGTTATACTTTCATATAAAGCGATAGTGTTTAATTCTACATTTCAACATTTATTGGCATTTTTCATCAGTAGTGGAGTCAAATTATTCATGTAAATTCAATAATCTCTATACTTGATTTATTGAGAAATTGAAGAAAAGAAAGATAAATAAATAAACTTGTGAATACAAGAGAGAAATTGTGAATTGTGACATGTGCGTAGAAGCGGAAGACGAAAAATTAGGAAAAACTTCCTGTCGCTGTCGTCAGATGGCAGTATTGGCAACTGGCGCGTAATTTGAATAATTTAATTGAAATCGTTTTAGTTATAGGTAAAACAGGTGAAATAATTTTAAAAAAAGTGTAACCAGGTGTGAATGTTCATTCTGAAATGTAAAAGACTAATCTTTAGACTAATTTGTTAATTAATAATTAATAATTAATAAATTAATAAATGTAAAGGAGATAAGTACGGGTAAAATGGTAACCTACCTTACCTACACTACCTTATCTACTCTGCCTTACCTACCGACCCACCCCTGTTAGTAGTTGACAAACAAGTCTCTAGTCTTCTTGTTGACAAGTTTACAGTTACAACGTTTGTTTATTAGTTTATTTATTTAAATAATAGTGCTTGACAGTTTAGAGTGAAATTAGAAGAAGAAACGATAAATTATAGTTACACAATTTTTAGTTTTTTCTCAGCTGAGAATGAATTACTTTCTTGAATGCCCCGGTACGCAAAGGTACAATTTTTCTTGAGAAACGGAATTAATTCTCTTGATTTTCTTTATAAAGTTTAGTTTCTTCTCAGTTGAAAATGAATTATTCTTTTTAATTTACAGGTAAAAGGGTAGAATTTTCTTATGTGAAACAAGTGTATTGTGGAGATTCTTTTCTGAAACGATCGGACAGTCTGACGCAAATGTGCAACAAAGAGTTGGAAATCTTCGAGGACGATGAAGAATTCTATCATTTCAACGTGGGAGATCGCCGACCGGTGAGTCGATTTTTGTAAAATTTATTAATTCTTCGATTATTTATTAATTTTTTATCACAGGGATCACAGTTTGACCTCTTTTTCTCATTTTTATCATAGCAAATTAATAAAAATATGCAAAATCGTGCTTATCATCTCCTTTTTCGATTTTTTGTTTAGGAAAAACTTTTAGGTTATGTTTGTCATTGTTCGAGGTACATCAACAATATTAAGTACTTTCACTAATTAATTATATTGATTTAATTAATTACTTAATTTTTCTAAATTAAAAGTACTAAATTAAGTAATAAAATGAATAAAATCACAAACATAACCTAAAAATTTTGCTTCTTAGGTCCCTTTCTTCGTTTTTGTAAATAATAACTATTTAAAAATAATTATTTTTACGAAATTTAATGAAATTTAAAAAAAAAATGTACCTAATTATTAGGTAAATTTTTTAAAAAATGTACCTAATAATTAGGTACATTTTTTTTAAAAATTTCATTAAATTTCGTAAAAATAATTATTTTTAAAATAATTTTAATTGAAAATTTTAAAAATAATTGGAACTTACAAAGAATTTTATCAATAACTTTTAAGAACAATTAAATTGTATAAAAGAATTTAATTACAATTTCGAAAAATAATTGAATCTGTTAGAGAAATTTTACTAAAATAAATATTTTAAAAAAAATAAAAGAATTTTATTATATTTATAAAAATAATTGAATTCTTGCCAAGAATTTTACAATTTACAAAATTTGAAATTGTTTTGAAGAGGTTTATCAGAATAATTGTTGATAATAATTGTATTTTCATTAAAACTCTTGAAAATAATTGAATTTAAATAATATTTTTAAAATAATTGTATTCTTTCTAAAAATTTTATTAAAATTGTATTGAAAATAATTAAATTTCTGAAAAGAATTTTATTATTTATGAAGATAATTGAATTCCCAAAAAGAATTTTATTATTTTTAAAAATAATTGGATTTTGGAGAAGAATTTTATTATTTATAAAGTAATTAGAAATTTTGACCAGAATTTAAAAAAATATTTGAACATAATTGAATGTTTGCGTAGAAATTTTCGAAAATAATAATTGAATTTTGGAAAAATACATTTCTCAAGGAATTCGATTAAAATTGTATTAAAAAAAAATTTTATTATTTACAAAAAATAATTGAATCACTTTAAACAAATTTTATTATTTATAAAAATAATAATTGAATTATTGCGAAGAAATTTATACAAATTTTCTAAATAGTTGAATTCCTGTGGAGTTTTTATTGGTAATGAAATTAATTAAATGTTGTAGAATTTTATTAGAATTTTTTTAAATATAATTGAATTCTTTTGGAAAATTTTATTAAAATAATAGATATTGAAAATCATTGAGTTGAGGGAAATTTTCGAAAATAATTGAATTTCCCCTAAAGAATTTTATTACTTTTGAAAATAATTAAATTTCTGCAATAATTTGTAACTTCTTCAAAATTCACTTCTTTTTTTTTGGACTTTTAACTACAATTCTTCTATAAATAAATCAATTATTTTTAATAATTAATTCAATATACATTAAAAATTTGAAATTATTTCGAAGAAGTTTATCAAAATTTTTGAAAATAATTGGATTTTTATTAAAACTTTTGAAAATAATTGAATTTAAATAATATTTTAAAAATAATTGTATTATTTCCTGAAATTTTATAAAAATTTTATATTGTAAATAATTATATTCCTCCGAAAAATTGTATTATTTATGCAATTAATATTGAATTTCTTTAAAGAATATTTTTATTTATGATAATATTTTAATTCTTGGGAAAAATTTTCTTATTTATGAAAACAATTGAATTTTTGAAAAATAGTAAATAATAATATTTAATTGTCTGCTTAATAAAGTGAATTCTTTAAATTTTCAATCTGTAATCATTTCAAAAATTGATGTTTATTCTTAAAAATATAAAATTTTTTAATTTACAAAATAATAATAAATGGAATACCGCGTTTATAAATTTATCTATTTTTATAAATATTTATAATTTATTTATTTATTTATGAAAATTAGAATCTCAATTATTTTTTATACAATTTTAAACGAATTCTTTAGAAAAAGGAAGTTATTCTTGAAAATTTTATTAAAATTTTTTCAAAAAAAATCCTTTACTTAAAGAATAATAAAGTTTCCCCATTTTAAAAATTAAAATCCCCCTTTTCACCTATAAATATTGCAGGGAAAAATCTGTGATCCGTGATAAATATTGCAGGGAAAAATTTTCACTTTTTTAAAAATTTATTAACATTTTTCTAAATTAGAAATTTAATTCTCCTTTGATGGTTAAATTTTTGCGAGTATTAATAATGAAAAAAAGGAGACAGTATTTATTTATACAATCTTTATTTTCTTAGAGGTAAAATTAATTTTCTCGCTATTGTAAATACTACAGAATTCTATAATAATTTATAACAGGAATGTAATAATAATTATAAAGAGACATTAAATGGTTTGTGTATCACTACCACGAGGTAGATTATCAGGCATCAATTCTCGTGTTTCAATTCATATTTAAGACGCAGTATTATAAAATAGATTTATATATATGTATAATAATATAAAAGTCGATTTATTCTTAATCTATATTTGATATTGTCACAGAGGAGATTTATCTCTCGATCGAATTGAGATAGATTTACATATTTTTTTTTTTTCTATTAAATAATCTCCACTTCTGCCTTTGGAATTACATTATCGTTTAAATCTTCAACGGTTTCAACGCTGCGATCAGGTGTCGTACTTTCGGCTTTTTTCCCAGCATTAGATGGTGATGAGGTAATTGGTTCCGTATCCGCATTGCCACCAATCTCAAGGGTATCGTTTTGGGGCTTAATTTCGACTACTCGAAAACGGAACACAGAGCCGCTATTTTCGTCACCGTCAGAATAGGTTGTGTCGTTGACGGTCACAACGTGACCATTAATGACCTGAAAAAAGAATTAGTTTTTCGATTAATCGGCAAAATTTTATATATTCTGTAAATTTCGATTATTAACAATGTTACTAAAATTTGTACTATTTACTATGTACTTTTTTACGATTTGAGTTTAATTAGAAATTTTAATGAATTTAGATTTTTGGAAAAATTTTATTAATTCAAATTCTTCTTGAAATTAGTTGAATTTTTTAATTTATTTTTAATTGATTTATTAAAAATAATGGATTTATAGAAGAATTCTAGTTAAAAACCCCCCAAAAAGAATTGAATTTTTAAAAAGTTACAAATGATTGCAGAAATTAAATTATGCTCTAAAATTTTTAAAAATTCTCGAAAAAATTTCAATTATCTTTATTAATAATAAAATTCTTTTTCGAAATTCAATTATTTTTAAAAACTTAAAAAAAATTCTTGGCAAAATTTCAATTATTTTCAAAAATTTTCCTGAATTGAATGATTTTCAATATCTACTTTATTTTAATAAAATTTTCTAAAAGCATTCAATTATTTTCTAAAAATTTCAATAGATTTCTACGCAAACATTTAATTATTTTCAAAAATTAGTGAAATTTTTTAATATATATTGAATTTATTATTAAAAATAGTTGATTTAATAAAATTTTCCAAAAAAATTCAATTATTTAAAAAAATGTTAATAAAATTCTACGCAAACATTTAAATAATTTCATAAATAATAAAAATTTTACAGGAATTCAATTCTTTACAAATTTTAAAAATATTTCTTCGCAATAATTCAATTATTTTCAAAAGTATTAAAGTTTTTTTCAGAGATTCAATTATTTTTATAAACAATAAGACTTCTTTTAGGAATTTAACTAATTTTCATAAGTAAGAAAACTCATTGCAGAATTTGAAATATTTTTAAAACAATTTTAATCGAATTCATCGAAAAAAGTAATTCTCCAAAATTCAATTATTTTCAAAAATTTTAATAAAATTCTACGCAAATATTTAAATATGTTAACAAATTTTTTTTTAATTCTGGTCAAAATTTCAATTATCTTTGTAAATAATAAAATTCTCCTCCAAAATTCAATTATTTTGAAAAATTTTAATAAAATTGTAAACATTTAATTATTTTCAAAAATAATAAATTTTTTTTTGGGAATTCTATTATTTTCATAAATAATAAAAATCTTTGTAGAAATTCAATTTTGTCTAAAATTTTTTTAAAAATTATCGTCGGAATTTCAATTATCTTTATAAACAATAAAATTCTTCTCCAAAATTTTATTGTTTTCAAAAATAATAAAAATTTCACTGCAATTCAATTATTTAGAAATTTTTAAATAAATTTCTTCGCAATAAGTCAATTATTATTTTGTAAATAATTCTTTTTATAGGAATTTAATTATTTTCAAATATTTTAATATAAAATTCTCGTCATAATTTCAATTATTTTCACAAATTTTCTTGAATTTAATGATTTTTAATACATCTACTATTTTAATAAAATTTTTGAAAATAATTTGATTATTTAAAAAAAATTTAATAAAATTCTACCCAAACATTCAATTATTTTAAAAAATAATAAAAATTCCACATGAATTCAATTTTTTAGAAAATTTTTATAAATTTCTTCGCAATAATTTAATTATTTTCATAAGAAATAAATTTTTTTTAGGAATTTAATTATTGTCATAAATAATAAAATTCTTTTTAGGAATGAAATTTATTTCCTAAATAATAAATCTCATTGCAGAATTTCAATTATTTTTAATATAAAATATTAATCCATTTCTCGAAAAATTAATTCTTAAAATTTTTATTAAAATTCGTCAACAGAATTTAATTTTATTATCTAAATATTTGTTGATAAAATTCTTTATGAGATTAGTGTAAGCATAAAAAAGTAAATTTTGAACATTTTAAACAATTAAAATTTAGGTAAAATTATAATTTTTTGTCAATAAGAAACAATTTTAGTGACATTACCTAATATTTAACAAATATTTCTCATTGACAAAAAATTGTAATTTTTATTCAAATGCAACTTTTAATTGAGTGCTTGGATACAACAAGGGGACGTACGCTCGGCGAGCCGCTTTAAAGTCAGTCAAAGGTACCGTAAAGTGTAAAAAATGAAAATTCAAAATTTTGAATTTTGAAAACTGCCATCTTATAGGAAATAAAAATGCGCATCTTTTTTTTCTTTGAAATTTCTTTGAATAATTAATATTTTTATATGATAATGGAAAAAATGTGATTAATTTTCAATGTTAAATTTCATTGAATTTTAAAACATAAATCGTCGTATCTCCGACAAAAATGAATGAATTCTTTTGATTTTTGGTATACAAATGCATTTGGACCTATAGAAGACGACAATATCACGAAAATGTTAAAAGCAATTAATTGTTTATTGATTTTTAATTGTTAATACTGACCGGTCAAAAATAATTTTTTCTTATCTTTGGCTGCAAAAAGTATGCGGGGAACTTTAAAATTCAAACAACTTCCAGTGAGACATTTGTTTATTACGATGTGAAGAAGTTTTCTGTAAAATTGCAGAAAGATTAGTTTTATATTTACAGAAATACAATAGTTTTAAGAAAAATGCTCGCGCCGCCAACGATCCCTACCGCACAGATTTTAAGGTTAGTTACACGGTAAAGTTTTATTTATGTATAAATATATGTGTGTAATATTTGCATTGAATTATTTATTAACTATTACATACTATACAACATAGGTATACACTTGTTTAATAATTTTGTAAAATATTATGTGTATGAATATAAATATTACAAATAATTCTAGCAATATTTAATTAAATTAAGATTATTTCTGATATTTATTTTTGTTAGTATATCGTTTATTTACAACTCAATTTTTATCGACTCTATAATGTATTAAAACTATTACTCAATATGCTGCAACAACACTTAATGTCCTTTTTAATTACATACTATGTTGAATCTAGTATAATCTAATAATATCTATTAAAATATAATAGTTCAAAATATCACAATTGTCAAAAATTGTTTAAAATAAAAATTTTTCCTAGTTTTTAAACAATAATATTAACATCTAAAAACGTTTTATAAATTTAATAATGTTTAAAATAAAAACATTTCTTTTAACACAGATATTAATCTTAATTTAATTAAATATTGCTAGAATTATTTGTAATATTTATATTCATACACATAATATTTTACAAAATTATTAAACAAGTGTATACCTATGTTGTATAGTATGTAATAGTTAATAAATAATTCAATGCAAATATTACACACATATATTTATACATAAATAAAACTTTACCGTGTAACTAACCTTAAAATCTGTGCGGTAGGGATCGTTGGAGGCGCGAGCATTTTTCTTAAAACTATTGTATTTCTGTAAATATAAAACTAATCTTTCTGCAATTTTACAGAAAACTTCTTTACATCGTAATAAACAAATGTCTCACTGGAAGTTGTTTGAATTTTAAAGTTCCCCGCATACTTTTTGCAGCCAAAGATAAGAAAAAATTATTTTTGACCGGTCAGTATTAACAATTAAAAATCAATAAACAATTAATTGCTTTTAACATTTTCGTGATATTGTCGTCTTCTATAGGTCCAAATGCATTTGTATACCAAAAATCAAAAGAATTCATTCATTTTTGTCGGAGATACGACGATTTATGTTTTAAAATTCAATGAAATTTAACATTGAAAATTAATCACATTTTTTCCATTATCATATAAAAATATTAATTATTCAAAGAAATTTCAAAGAAAAAAAAGATGCGCATTTTTATTTCCTATAAGATGGCAGTTTTCAAAATTCAAAATTTTGAATTTTCATTTTTTACACTTTACGGTACCTTTGACTGACTTTAAAGCGGCTCGCCGAGCGTACGTCCCCTTGTTGTATCCAAGCACTCAATTGTTGAAATAAGTATAGTTGGAAAACCAAATTCTTTATCCAGAAAATTAAATTTTATTTAAATAAAAAAATCGTTTTCTTTTATTTAAAAAGAATGATAATTTTTAACACATCTGGTATTTTATTAATTTAGATTTAAACAGCAATAGTGTTGCGTTGATAGTAGAAATATTGATAATGTTAGGATTTCTTTTTATGTTTGGATTTTTTTCCATCCATCAAAATCATTGAATCGTAAATGCTTGTGGTATTTCGTATTTTTTGAATTGAAATAAATTTTTGTCAAGATTCTGACAGTTATATGATGTGAAAAAAAGTCCATAAAAAACACCCGATTTTAGTTTGTAAAATTGATTTATTGACTCACCTTAGTGGTGGAAGTGCTGTTTGAACCTTTTGGTACTTCACTCAATGGTTTGAAACCTTCAACTTGGCTTCTAAATAATTCTTGCATTCTTTTCCGGAACATTTCTGGAAAAAAAAAGAAAAAGATAAATAAAAATGATTGAAAAATGTTTTTTATACAATCAGGCTTCTGAAAATTGTAATAAAATTCTTTAAAACGATTCAATTATTTCTCAAAAACTTTTCGAAAATCAATGATTTAGATTTTCAATATATCTATACAATTGAATTGAATTATTAAAAATATTTCATAAAATTTTTCGAAAAAAATCAATTTAAAAGCTTTTTATAAAATTCTACCGCTAGAATTCAATTATTTTCACAAGCAATAATATTAGTTTTGAAAAAACTTAATTCGTATAGAAAAATAATTATCAAATAGAAATTCAATTATTTTCCCAAATAATAAAATTTTTTACGAGAATTCAATTATTTAAAAATTTTAAATTCCTGTGAAGAATTTAAATGAAATTTTATTAAATAATTTTATTTGTTTACTTTTAAAAATTACTTTTAAACACAATTGTATTTTTTTTGAATAAAAATTTAAAACAAAATCTTTGCAGAAATTCATTTATTTAAAAAAAAAAAATTTAATAAAATTCTTGGCATAAATTAAAAGTAACAAAATGCTTTACAAATCTTCAATTACCTTCAGTTTTAATAAAATTTTTTGCAAGAATTTAAATATTTTCATTGAATAATAAAAATCATTTTAGAAATTCAATTATTTTCAAAAAACTTAATAAAATTCTTCTCAAGAATTTAATTATTTTCATATAAATATATAAAAATTTTAGCAGAAATTAAAATATATTTTCAAAAGTTTTGATACAATTTTTTCGGAAAAATTCAATTATTTTTAATAGAATTTAAAAAAATTTCTCAATAAAATTTAATTATTTTCAAAATTTGAATGAAATTCTTTGAAAGATTTCAATTATTCTTTAAAATTTCTGATACAATCTTTATAAGAAGTAAATTATTAGCAATACAATTTTAATTAAATTCTATAAAAGAATTTAAAATTTTCAAAAATAATTGAAATTTTGCAATGAATTTTATTATTTGTAAAAATAATTGAATTATCGGGAAGAATTTTATGAAAATGTTTTTAAATAATTGAATTCTGCTGAAAAATTATATTATTCGTGCGAAAGTAATTGACTTCTTACAAAGTCTTTCGAAGATTTTAAATAAAATTGTTTTCAAAATAATTGAATTTTTATAGAGAATTTTATTTAAATTTTTGAAAGTAATTGAAATCTTTAGAGAAGTTTTATTAAAATTACATTCAAAATAATTACATTTTTACCAAGAATTTTATTATTTATGAAAATAATTGAATTATTGCGAAGAAATTTATAAAAAATTTGTAAATAATTGAAAATATATTTCTGTAAATAATTAAATGTTTGCGTAGAATTTTATTGAAATTTTTCTTTAAATAATTGAATACAATTTGAAGAATTTTATTAAAATTTAAAAATCATGGAATTCAGGAAATTTTTTAAAAATAATTGAAATTTTGCCAAGAATTTGATTAAAATCTTTGAAAATAATTAAATTGTTTCGAAGAATTATTAAAATTTTAGAAAATAATTAAATCCTTTCAAAAAAATTTTTTTAACATTTTTCGAGGAATTCAATTAAAATTATACTAAAAATAATTGAAATTCTACGATGAGTTTTATTAGGTATTTATAAAAAATAATTGAATTCCTGTAAAAAATTTTATTATTTATGAAAGTAATTGAATTTTATTTGTTTAGTTTTAAAAATAAATAAATACAATTGTATTTTTTAGGATAAAAATATTGAGAAAATAATTGAAGTTTTCAAAAATTTTGAAGCAGGATTAAAATGAAAATAAATATTTTTTTTTTTAAATCAGGAAACAGTCAGGGAAATACTGAATCAAATTTTTGTGAATCGACTAAAACAAATTTTTTTTATTCGTTGGAATTAATTTTCGATAGCGTTTTTTTTACTACTTTTTTCAGTATTAAAGCTACTTTTTGATATTTTTTAAAAATTAATTATTGAGTGTAAAGGCTGATATATAAATAAATAATACATTTTTACTGATATTATATGCGTATAGTTGGTATTTAATTTGTATAATTTAGTTTTGCAAATCGTAACGCAGTTTATGTCTAAAATACATGCAATTTGGAAAATTTACATTCATATCTATATTATATAGGGCAATTTTTACTCCTGTAATCATGTGGCTATTCAGATTTTTCGTTCTATTTCGACATAGCGAAAAAAGAAATTTTTTTCATCCTTGCGTGGACATCTCGTTAATTTTAATTCATATTTTAAATAATGTCAGTGAAAATTTTACGTGTAGGATAATATTCTCTATTTTTTTCTGTGCGTTTAGAATAAGAAATTACTAAATCACGAACGGGATGTTAATTTTTCTTACGGCAATAATAAATTATAGCATTGTTGTAAAATGACTGGAAATTGCATATAAAATTGTAATATGTAATTTTTTTTATTCTGAAATTTGAGAATTTTTGTTTAAATTATAATTTTCTGGGAAAAAAATTTTTTTAAGGAAGCAAAAATAGAAAATAGAAAAATTATCATTTTTAAAGTAAGGGAAAAATTGAATTGATCGATAATTTACTAAACTGCTTTTGAAGAGCGAGGAAAAAATTTATAGGGAGCAAACAAAAACAATTAAAAAAGAAAGAAAAAAAAAAAAAAAAAAAGGTGGTCTTTATAAACATTTCTCCGTTAGTTGGCGGAAGTATATAGAGTGAAATGGTTGCATGATTTATTGGGTGTAATTGTTCATTAGGGATGGGTGCTAGGGGCGATAAGGGTTCAGAATAACTGGATATAGAGGGATATGAAAATTGCACGACTGAATTGTAATGGCAGATGTATATAGGAAGGAAGGAAATCGCTTGGAAATCAACCATCGATGTCTCGATGTTTTGTCGCGCGATTCTCTCGACGTGCAAACTCCATTGCAGTAGCAATTTAAAATTTTTATACTCTTTTATATTCAAATTCAAATTTTATACAATTCTACGAAAACATTCAATTATTTTCATAAATAATAAAATTTCATTTAGGAATTCAATTATTTTCACAGCAGAATTTCAAATATTTCTAATACAATTTTAAATAAATTCCTTGAAAATATAATTATTCTTAAAAATTTTATTAAAACTCGACGAAAGAACTAAATTTTAAGAAACATTCAATTATTCAATAAAAGAATAAAATTCGTTGTGGAATAATTCAATTATTTTCATAAATAACTTTTAATTCGTCGCAGGAAATCAATTATTTTTAAAAATTTTTTTTATTAATTCTGCAAAAGAATTCAATTATCTTGATAAACAACAAAATTCTCCCCATAAAATCAATTCTTTTAAGGAATTTTAATGAAATTTTTTTCCAAAATTCAATTATTTTGATAAATATCAAAATTAATTATAAGAATTCAATTCTTTTGAAAATTAATAAAATACTTGGGAGAAATTAAATTATTTTGAAAATTTTTTAAAAATGATCGTGAAATTTTCAATTATTTTTATAAATAGCAAAATTCAATTATTGGGAAAAATTTTAATAAAATTCTTGGCAAAATTTCAATTATTTTAACAAAATTTAATAAAACTCTTCGCATGAATTGAATTATTTTCATAAATGATTATTTAAATAATTCTCAGGAATTCAATTATTTTTAAAAAATTTAATAAAATTCTTGAAAAAGTTTTCAATTATTTTCAAAAATTGTTATAAAATTCTTTAATATAATAAAAATTCTTGGCAAAATTTCAATTATTTTAACAAAATTTAATAAAACTCTTCTCAGGAATCCAATTATTTTTAAAAAATTTAATAAAATTCTTGAAAAAGTTTTCAATTATTTTCAAAAATTGTTATAAAATTCTTGAAAAAGTTTTCAATTATTTTCAAAAATTGTTATAAAATTCTTTAATATAATAAAAATTCTTGGCAAAATTTCAATTATTTTAACAAAATTTAATAAAACTCTTCGCATGAATTGAATTATTTTTATAAATAATTATTTAAATAATTTTCAGGAATTCAATTATTTTTAAAAAATTTAATAAAATTCTTGAAAAAGTTTTCAATTATTTTCAAAAATTGTTATAAAATTCTTTAATATAATAAATTTCGTTAACATTTTAATTGAATTTCTTAAAAGAAATTAATTATTTTGCAAAAGTTGTTAATAAAATTCTTCGTAAAAATTTAATTTTAAGAAACATTCAATTATTGAATAAATTATTTATTTTGGTATTGAAATAATTAAATTCTCGTAGAATTTTCTAATAAATAATAACAATTGGTTTAAAAATGAATTTCGTTTAAAATTTTAGATAATAATTGAATATTTTAAGCGTAAATAGTGTGAATTTTTTCTTCTTCTCAAAAGACAAATTTTTTATAAGCTAAAATATTAACTGCGAATGTAATTTTTAAATCAATTCTTATTAGAAAGAAGTACAAGAAGTTATACAATAATGCAAGTATTTAAATAAAAAAAAATTAATTATAAAGAATTTTAACAAAATTTTTGAAAATAATCGATTTCCTTCGAAGAATTTTAAATGAAACTTTTGAAAATAATTACATTCTTTGAGGAATGTGCCTGTGAAGAATTTTATTATTTACGAAAATAATTGAATTCTTGGAAAGAATTTTATTGAATTTAAAAAAAAAAATTAAATTCCAGTAAAAAATTTTATTATTTGTAATAATAATTGAATTTTTACGAAAAGATTTTATTAAAATTTTTGGATATATTTGAATTTTTGTAATTATTTCATCCAAATTTAAAAGATTAATAATTGATTATTTCGAATAATTTATTTAAAATTGTATTAAAATAATTGAATTTTTGAGATTAATTTTATTATTCATGAAAATAATTTAATTGGTGCATAAATAAAATTTTAAATAGTTGAATTCTTTCTAAGAATTTGATTAAAATGTTTTAAAATAATAACATTCTTCGAAAAATTTAATAAAAATTGTATTAAATATAATTGAATCCTGTGAATTGAATC